AGATCCAGTCAAATAAGAATGTTTTTCCCTAACAAAAAACCTCTTCTGCAACAGCTTTATTTAATTCCCCCTCTGTTCTCAACAAAAATGGAGAGCAATTCATCATCGACCTCCCTATAAAATGGGCACACTTCAAAACCACTCTTAAAGTATTCTTTGGACAATTTATCTTTAAGAATATGATGTTGTCACAGAGGCTGTTTTACAATTCAGTTAATAAATATCTTAATAAGATATTTGCAAAGTAATTTACTTGAGCAAAACTGTTTACAAATAGTACTGAAACAACCTGGCTTCTCTAGCCTCAGATACCTGGCATTTTAGTTGACCCAATACTCAAGTGATGACGGCAGGGTTAAATAGTGTCTTCACCTGGACCAGAGGAAATTTATTACAGTATAATTATGCGTGTGTTCTGGTCTTTGTGGTTTCAACTGGCTTAAAATTTCTCTGCTCTGTGTACTGCTATATTGATTTAAAATTTTTAAAAATATGTCTTCGGTTCAGAGAGACTTGTACCAGCGATGTGTATTTTGTGGGGACAAAATGAATTGCAGCTGAGGCAGAAATAGACAGTAAGCAGGTTCTGAGTTAACACTTTTTACCATGGCCTGGATTAAGGTGGGGAGGGGTGTATATTCAGCTAGAATGTGACTGTACGTGAATGTGTATGTTCATTAAAACACAAGTTTCTTTGATCGTCATTGAAATTAAATCAAATCAATATAGTGATAATGATTACTTCATGATAATCAGAAAATCTGATTGGCTGTTGATGACATCATAGGGATTGTCAGGACATGTTCCTTGTATATAGTTGGTTACATATGTCTTTGATAAAAAATGTGGAAACATTAATATTATTAAATAATGTAGTTTAGATTTGAAGATAATCTTGACCTAGGAGTCCTCAGTAGGAGGTAGGGATGGGGGAACACCAAAGGGACATTTTCACTTTCTGCCTCAGAATTTATGACAGTGTGCATAGAATCTGATGTGATAACAGCAAAGTGTAAGTAGAAAGATGGTACTTTGTGTTATCAACAGTAATAGAAAACACCTCGCCCTTCAGACATTTTAGTCCAGTGACTAATATTTAGAAGTAGAAAAATGTATGGTAAACAGAACTTACACAATCAAAATAGTTTAAAAACTTGAAGCTAACACAAAAGGTAATACCAATATATTTTCAAAACTTGGAATAATTTCCACTCACAGACCTGTGGTTCAGAACAGCACTGATTTTTAATCATTATGTTTGGGTTGGTATCTGAGACATGAATTAATTTTGTCCTTTCAAGGATATTAACTGTTACTTCTTAGGTTAAGTTTTAGGGGAAGTGAGCGGAAGCTGAGAAAGTCTTTCCTACCTACTTTAAATAACCCATTAAGTCCCTAATGAATATAAGGCACTCTGTGCTGAGTAACTGAGTGATAGCTATTATTTTTAGTCCAACACTAAAGGCAGTTTATTTTATATTGTTAAAATTCATTAATAAGATTTTATCCATAACATTAGGTTAAACTAAATCTACCAAAAAGAGTCAAATAGGATTATATTTTGAGGTCTATCATAAAAATAGACTTAAACACCCAGTACCTTTAGCCCTGGCCGGATTGGCTCAGCGGTAGTCAGCCTGCAGACCAGTGAGTCCCGGGTTCGATTCCAGCCAAGGGCACGTACCCCAGTTACCGTTCATCCCTGGCCCTGATTGGGTCGTGCGGGAGGCAACCAGTCCATGTGTCTCTACCACATCAATGTTTCTCTCTGCCTCTCTCTCCCTCCCTCCCACTCTATCTAATGATAAATAGAAAAATATCCTCGGGTGAGGAATAACAAAAAAAAGAAAGAAAAACAAAACAAAAACCCAGTACATTCAGTGCTTTTCTGTTTTATTTTTAGAAATTAGAATAACTAATAGTCTCCTATTTTTTTAAACACACGATTAGTTTTTCACTCAATACAAATTATTCCACTTAAGATTTGTTTAAATCCTTCTAAAATAATATGTTAAAATTAATATTCAACAAAAGCCTAATGCCCAACCATACACCAAATTAAGGTCTGAATTGCAAACTAATCTACTCCTTAAGCTGTAATCACTGAGACAATGGAATGTTTGATTCCTCCTGGTGGTGGTGGTGATCACCACCACCATCATCACAGCATCTACATATCAGTTTCCAGGACAATTTCATACACGTTTATCTCCTGTTTCTCAGAGCAGCCTGTGTAACAGAAGACTTTCTTTCAGTGGGTGTTCCTGGCATTTTGGACTAAAGTGAACAGTGGCTGGTTACCCAGGCCAAATTAGGTTACAGCAAACATGACTTGAAAATGTCCCAGAAAAAATATCAGACATGCAACATGATATATAAAGCTGACACAAAACACTGCCTTATTTCCATCAAAACATCCAGGCTCCCACACTTACTATTTGTGTGACCTTGGGCAAGTCACTTAACTTCCCTGGGTCTCAGCTTTCTTACAGTAAAATGGGGACAACAATAGCACCCACCTCTCCTGACTGTTAATAGGATTAAAGACGGAGTTTGTTTAGAGAATTGCTTGATACACAGTGCTAATTGTTGTAAATGCTACTTTTTTAGGGCACACACACACAAATAAATAAGTGATTGCAGAAGTTACCATATTATTTATCATAATAATATTCTTGCTCTTTTTTCACCTATGGCACTGGACCATATTACATGCAGTTCATTTGTTTACATGGAAACTTCTAGTTTAGTCACTAGGTTTCAAGACATTGATGGTATGTCATGATATTCTTTATTACTGAATGTCATTAAAATCAATCATCTCCCTCCAAAGATATCAGAAAGCAGACCAACAAAGTACGCTAAGTGGTTTATTTTTTTCTTCACAATCAAATAAAACAATCTCTTTGTCCACTGATGGTAATGATGCTTAATTCAGTACTTTTCAGTTTGCAAAACACTTTCAATGCAATGCAATGCAATGGTACAGGGCTCCTCCTATCTCTTGCTTTTTCTTACTTTTAAAAGAACTCTGCCCACGGAGAGCCACCTTTTCCACTGTTCTCATGTGGCAGCACCATTACTTTTGCCCATTTTCTTACAGGTAGTAGAGGTAATGGGGGGGAATAAAGAAACTGTGTTTTCGTTTTTGTTTTCCCAACACAGATTCACAAAAAATCTAGAGAAATGAAAATGGTTCACAAAGGCACTGAACATGCTTAAATTTCCTGAGTGAAAGGACAACTTGGTTACTGCCATTTAAGCTTTCAAGTTTTGTCCAAGTTCTGCAGAAAATTCCAACTTGTTCTGCCTGAGGAAGACTCTGGGCCCCTCAAGCCCTGCCCCAGGCTCAGGGGCAGCAAACGCCACAAACCCCAGCTCTTCTCAGACACAGTCTCTCATAGGAAATCTTTATTTTGCAAATTAAGAAATTTGGAAGTTTGACAGGGTCATGAAGAAACTAAAATCAACTGTAGGTAGCTTCCTTCACCTTTAAGAATCAAGATCTAAATATATCACAAGTGTTTAAGCCTTGAAGGTATCTGGCTTCTAAGGCACTTTATAAACAGCAAATAACGATAATAGTGGAGGATAGAGGAGGAGGAGGGAGGAAGAGGAGGAGGAGGGAAGAAGAGGAGGAGGAGGGAGGAAGAGGAGGAGGAGGAGGAGATAGTTTGAAGTTTTCAAAATTCAGTCACCCAAATACTGTTATCAAGGATGAGCAAGGGAAACACTATGTCAAATGTAACAGCACAGAATTTGGAAGTCTACTTCATTGACATTCATTTCTCATGGGAAACAACTTGTGGTTTTGCAAATTCTGATTTTACTTGATCTTATTTGATCCTGTATGTGCTAACGGTGGGACTTCCACCACAATGGTCTCCATTGGAAAGTAATGGACCCGTGCCAACCCCACAGGCTCATGAGTCCCATGCAGCAAATGCTTGATATTTAGGGCCTTCTCTGTGCAGAGATGGACCTATCTTTGCTCCCTGTTGAGATGCAACTTCTGTGCTTACAATCATAAATGAGGCCATCGGTAGTGACAGGAAACCAGGCCCACCATTTTTACCTAATGTTTCATTCATTAAGCATCACTGGGTGCTACCACACGGCAGATATTCCTTGACACTGAGGAGCCTCTCGTCCAATTATTTTATTTTATTTTTCTTTATTGATTTTAGAGAAGGAGGAAGGGAGAGGGAAAGAGAGATAGAAACATCGATGAGAAAGAACATCGACTGGCAGCTTCCTGCATGCCCCCCACTGGGGATTTGGCCCACAACCTGGGCATGTGCCCTGACTGGGAATCAAACTGGCGACCTCTTGGTGCACGGGTCAACGCTCAACCACTGAGCCACACCAGCTGGGCAGCTATCGTCCAATTAAAAATAATTTACTCCTAATCCTCTGGGGCATGAGCCCAAGATCTTTGTTTTATAACACCGGGATTCCAACATGGAACTCCGTTCTTTAAAAATCTGAACTTTTGAAAGAGAAAAGTTTACAAAACAAAATTCAATTAAGAAGAATAAGAAGACCATAAAAAAGGGAAGGGCAGGAAAAGGCTATAATTCACCATTAGAGGAAATGCTGGGAGACAAACATGAAGAGAACAAGCTTTTCATGTTAGGGAACGGCCTCGGCAGCAGAGTTCAGATCTCGGCTCTGGTCCCTCCAGATGTCAGTCGTGAGTGAAATCATACACAAACGACATGATATCAGTTTCAGGCTTCATGGAAAAGCGCAGGAACTTTCCAAACACCCTTTTGACCTCTTTATATCATCTCAGGCCTCATCCCATGAGGGCCCAAATCCCCTGGAAGCTTGGATCTATCCCATGTGCTGGATATTACCCACATTTATGCTCATTCAAGTCCAAACACTGTGTGACAGTCATCTGAGAAGGTTCTACAAAAGAGACAATCTCCTTTCTACAACAATGAGAAATTTCCTTTAATAATAAAAGTGCTCAGTAAAAATGAAGAATTCCCTACCTTGAACACATTAAGCTGTTGGTTGATCGTCTCTGTTTCCATAGCAACGGGGCCTTGAGACTCTTCCAGTTCTTCGGCCTTCTGAAGCAGAGTAGAAAATTCCTTCAATTTGCTGTAGAATTCACCAAGACGCTCAATTGTCCTTTCAACCTGCTCTTCTCTGGCTTGTGCTCGGTCCAGCAACTTGTTGCACTGCTTGCTTAAAGCCTCCAGGTCCCTTTTGATTCCCACGAGATCAGGAGAGGTCTCTTCCGTGGCCAGCATCATCTTGCAGGTTTTGTTGGCATTGTCGTTGCTAGCTATGAGGGCTTCTAGTTTCTTCAGAAAGTCCGTAATAGCCTCCTTTTGCTTCTGCAATGTTTCCACGTCTCTGCCCACGGGGGTCATGCTATCCAGTTCATCATCAAACTCTGCAAACTGAGAAAACATTTCTCGGATGGTATTCTGGAAATGCCCAATGCCCTGAAGCTTGGTTTCTAAGAAGGAACACTTCTCGTCAACCTGCTGACTTAGGACATTATGCTCTTGAGCTAAGGTTTCTACTTGCAGTAAGAGGTCAGAGGCACCCTTTGAGTCTGAGGCTTCCACCACAAGGTCTTGTGCAAGTCCTTTGGCCAAATCAACCTGTTGCTTCAAGGTCTGAAGTGATTTCTGCTGAGTCTGCAACATGGTCAGGTACTTGTTACTGTAAGCCTGGGGTCCTAGAGAATCATGGACATCTAGCTGTTCCTTTGCACACTGAAGCTGTCTTTTAGCTTCTTTGGACACTTCTTGAAATTCTTTAAACTTCTGGGCCATGTTCTCCAGAGAGAATTTTTTACTGTGAAGTTGTTCAGTGACCATGTTTACCTTCTGGTTCAGTGATTTATTCTCATCTGTAACAACCTCTTTATCCGTCTCACAGACACTGAGCAAGCTGTTGGCTGCGTTGTTCAGCAATTCTACCATCCCACAGTGCTGGTCCATTTCCTTCTGCAGAGACTTTAACTTGGCAATAGACTTCTCTGTTTCAGTAGGATCCAGGTAAAATTTTATCTCCTCCAGGTTATTTTGACATTTATCTATCCATGGCCGGAGAGTCTCTACATGCTCTTTATACTTGAGGGCTTTTCCCAATGAATCTTTTACCTTGTCTTCTCTTTCTTTCACCTGCTTATTAAATCCATCCCAGTTGGTTTTCATTGCATTAAGTTGTAACTGTAAGGCTGCCTTCTCAGACCCTTGTGTTTTAAATAAAAGATTCTCACCTTCCTCCATGGTTTTTTCATAAATACTAGACTGAGTAGTCAAAGTTTTACTGAAGTCTTTCTGATCTTTAATTAACGACTCCAAGACATCAAGTTTGGCTGATATTGGGCGAGACTTTTTGAGCTCTTCTTTCTTTGCATCCAGCCAAGCCTGAAAATCTCTAGATGTTTGCTGAAATTGATGAGAGCTGGCACAGGCCGACTGGAGATGCTGGACATGATTCTCTAAAAATGAAATTACAGGCATGTTTATGTTACATCAAAATGTTGATTTAATCTATGAAAAGCCAAGAGGAAATTCACCACGTAAATGTACATGGCTGTCTCAAAGCAAGGGTTTTCAGCACTGACTGTAAGAACTACAAGTGAGTCTGAGTTATTGACAAAGGGGAAAAAGGCGGCAAGAGGTGGGGACAGCAACAAGAAAAAGAGAAAATCAAGGCAAAGAGGATGGAGATGAGAAGTCCAAAGCAGATGATGGGAACTGGTAAAATTGCACAAAGGTGCAGGGTGGTGGAGGTCAGGTAGGAGACAGGTAGGGGACAGGTAGGGGATAGATCGAGGACAGGCAGCGGACAGTCACACACAATTCTAAAGATGCTGAGAGATAATCCATCTCTTATCAAACATAACTGTTTCACTTTTGTGGTTTTTACATTATCACAGAGACAGTATCATGAAGCACATAGGAACGGCACAGGTTTGGGTCTCACCTCAACCTCTCAGGACCTGGAAAACCCTGAGCAAAGGATTCAACCTCGAAGCCTCATTTCCCCAAATGTAAACTGGCAGCACGAATAAAAGCTGTTGTGACAGTACACGTGAAGTTCTTAGCTTAGTGCCTGCCACATAAAAGTGTCCATAACACTGTCCAAGTAAAAGAGTAAGCCTAACAGATTGCTTTGATCAGTAAATAAATCCAAGCAATTAAAAAATATCAATGAGCCCTGGCCGGTTTGGCTCAGCGGTTAGAGCGTCGGCCTGCGGTCCGTAGAGACCCGGGTTCGGTTCCCGCTAAGGGCACGTACCTCGGTTGCGGTTTGTCCCTGGCCCTGGTTGGGTCATGCGGGTGGCAGCCACTCGATGTGTCCCTTTCACGTCGATGTTTCTCTCTCTCTCTCTCCATGTCTCTCTCCCTTCCACTCTATCTGAACAAAAAAATGGAAAAATGTCCTCGGGTGAGGAAAAAAAAAAAAATATATCAATGAAGTGTTTACTAGTTGCAAGACACCTAGTGTTACTTTTCAAACCAGACAAGCGCAGCGGTCAGATGAGCTCTCCTTTGGCGAACCCTCTGAAGTCCACTCACTCACTACTGCTGCCTCTGCCAAACCCTGGTCCGTGTGGCACAGAACCGGGGCCAAGTAGGTGAGAGGAAAATAGAGCCAAATGCTTCTCCTTCACACTGTTCTCTAGAAAAGCGAATTTCTTTGACAGAGTCACACAAAAGAACTGCAGATGAGAAAAGGAGGCAAAGCCTTTTAAATAACGGCATTTGTCTGTTTTTCTGCTGAACTAAGTCTGTCACACAGCAAAAACGTGTATGTCTTTTCAAAATCAACATAGAGCCCCGGCCGGTTTGGCTCAGTGGTTAGAGCGTCGGCCCGCAGACCAATGAGTTGCAGGTTCGATTCTGGCCAAGGGCACCCGTTACCTCGGTTGCGATTAGTCCCTGGCCCTGGTTGGGGTCGTGCGGGAGGCAGCCACTCAATGTGTTCCTTTCACATCAATGTTTCTCTCTCTCTTTCTCCCTCTCTCCCTCCCGTTCTATCAGAAGATAAATGCAAAAATGTCCTCGGGTGAGGATAAAAAGAAAAAAAAAAAAAAATCAATGTACAATACCTGAAATTTTAATGGTCTTCTGTTAAGTGGATTTTGCCCACACTGTCCCTCCACCCTCTGTGTGGAATGACCCTCACACTGCGTGCACATGGACACACCTGCTCTCTGCACTGTGTGAGTGACCTCCTCTTCATTTATGCCCCCGATGGGGACAGACTCTCTTTAGGATCCCAGATTACTGGCACTGGAAACAGGCCATCTGTGATCTCTACTTCCAGAAAATATAGGTGTTAAAAGAAGAGAGACAAACCTGCTTTTTGCTCAATATCCTTAAATGATTTTACGATGCCTTCCAGTTGCCTGCTAAGCTCTGCTTTCAGGTACTCTTCTCTAACCAGTGCGGACAAGTCCTCGCACAGGGCCTGGGCCACTTTTATCTGCTTCGCTTCCTGCTCTACTTCCTGCTTCATGTTCTGGGCTGTCTCCAGCTGCTGGCTCATGGCATCAGGGTGTGCGCTCACAGCCACACTGCTGCTGAGTTTATTACCCAAGTCACTCAGTTTCTCAGAAAGGCTTCTCAGCAGGCTTTGATACTCGGTGCTTTTCACAATGGCTTGGTCAATCCAGTCACATCTGTCACTTAATTGTCCTGTTAGGCTGTCCCATTTCTGGATCACAGCTGCTAGCTGCTCTCTGACAATCCCGTGGAAAGCTGGGTGTTCACCAGGTCGGCTCAGAATGCCCTGACCAGCTGCCGTGAGCTGCTCATACTGAGGTTTCCGAGTATCAAATTCTTGCAGGAGAATCTAAGGTAAAGAGGTAATGAAGGTAAATAAACATACGAATTATTGAGTAATTAATTGCAGAAAACATAGTTTGAAGTTTCAAAAGAGACAGAAATGCTACTTATTTAATCTAGTCTTTATTTTTAGTTATTGCTTTCCTAGTTTTATTTTGAGGGCAGTGCAATTACCTTAAAGTAACCCAAAAAGCTACGGTGCTTCACAGAGATACCACTTTTGGCCTAAATAATATCCCTCAAAGGGGACAAAAAGGGAATAAATATTTTCATCAGTCTGGGCAAAATGAACAAAAATTCATGTAAGAAGTTTCATGTACAAAGGGAAACACTGCTACTGGACAAGTTCCCATCACACTAACACAAATATGTTTTCTTCCTACTTGTATTTTTCTCTTTGCAGGATTTTTTTCCCAATTATAGCATTTTACACCAAGTGAAATACACAGTGATACCAGTGTTCGACTATATTAACTCGGTGCATTGATTTACAAAGGTTTCTTTTAACATAACAGTTTTTGGGGTTTATTATTGATTTTAAAGAGAGAGAAAGGTAGATGGAGAGACAGATGGAAACATCAATGAGCGAGAACATAGATTGGCCGCCCCCTGCATGCCCCCCACTGGGGATCGGGCCCACAACCTGGGCATGTGCCCTAACTGGGAACAGAACCAGTGACCTTTTGGTGCATGGGTCGACGCCCAACCACTGAGCCAAGGCCAGACTATAACGGTTTTAAATCATGTTGCTCAGAATGTGCAAGCTCAACATTGGCTCTCATAAAGTGAATGATCCAAACATATTTTTTTAGTACAATATTTTATCTATCTGAGAGACTACCGAGATTGAGGCAATTATTTCTCCCTAAATGCTTATTTATAGCTTTTGTTTTCCTTCTCTTCAGATTGAAACCATACGTGATTTTCCATCTTTAGAGTCCAGCATCAGCCTCAATGCTCTACCACCACTAATCTCTCCGCAACCGCAACACAGCTTCTGCTATTACGGCCGACTTAGATTTTATGGATTTTTTTCCCCTTGTGGATTTATGTACTTATAATGAGACCTGTCTAACTAACCCTCTGGCTTTCAAGGTTCCCTCTCCACTTCCCTTATTCTTTCTCATCCTCTTAGTCTGTTTCTCTCCCCGTCAAGGCTGTATTGCATGAGTTTTATAAGTTTCATTATCTACTACCACCCTTGAAATAAACAAAACCTCAAAGGAGTAATTTCCAAACAATGAAAAGCATATACTAGCTTCTCATAAAAATGTTATTGCTTATACAATCACATTACTACTTCAAAGAAAGCCCTTGAAGGGTCTGCACAAACCATACTGCGACTGAAATGATCAAGGGACTTGGCCCCTTCATGGGTTCAGTAGACTACTCTGGGATGCCTCACAGCTCTGGTTCTCTGAGGGTTCTCATTAACCTCAGGACGGTATCTCAGGGGCATCTGAAACATTACAAATACACTCCAAGGCAGTCAAAGCACATACTGGCCGAAGCTAAAATACTTGTAGCGAAAACGTGTCTTGTTAAGTCAAGTGATACGTACCTGCACCTGCTGCCTTTGTGTGTTCAACATATTTGGGTCAATGGACAGGGGCCCAAGAACACTGACCATCAGTTCTTTTTCCACAAGCCACTGTTTTAGCTGAGCCTCGACAGTCTGGAATTGAGTTAGATTATTAGAGGATTCTTCCAGTTTTTGTTGTCTATCAACTGTTAATTGATTGAGTTCTTGCCACCTAGAGTCTAAAAGAAAACAGAAAACTGGTGTTTGGTTGTTATACATTTCACATGACTGCTATATCTGGGAAGACTGCAGGATGTGACTCAAAATGATATATAATGGCTATCCTTCCATATTTATAACTCTTCCTACAGAGTTGATTCAAGTCTAACCTAAGACCATTAATTGCAGTTGTTGATACGGATTTTATGGCCCTGATGGTTGTCAACTGAAGTGAAAAGAAAGTAAGTTTGAATCTGATTTTAGAAGATAATGCAGAGTATGGTATACTCCTTAAAGCAAACAGGATCCTGAGCATCTTCATTCCTTCTAGAAGTCCCCTAGAGTCTGTTAATTCAACTATAACTGACCTGCAAGAATAAATGAACATTAATCCTTTTTTTAAGTATGACATCTCCAATGATCAGTTCTAGGCAAGTGACTCCCAAATTTTTATATCTATACACAATCATTCTCTTCTATTCAAACTGCACACTAGTAACCAGCTGCTCGAAAGTTACACTAGGAAATCCCACCAACCCTTTAAACTCAACATTAAAGAAACTCATTACTTGACTTTGGGTGGTGAATACAATGCAATACAGAGATGATGCATTATAGAAATGAACATTTGAAACCTGTACAATCTTATTAACCAAAGTCACCCCAATAAATTTAATAATGGTTTTTAAAAACTTAGTATATTCCTATCAAAATTGGTGGACTTTTCTGACTTAGATTTCTCTCAAAGATTATTGCTCTCTCCCATGTTACTGAGATGCAATAATTCAGAATGTTCTTTCACGACTCTCCTAACTCGCCTATATTCTTGACCCTAAAATCTTAAACCCACTCTTTACATTTCCAATGACCTAACTCCATTTGGTCCTCACCATGGTTTGCCCAGACCAGTGATTCTCAAAATCAAGCTGCATTAAGATCACCTGGAGGGATAAGTCCAGAGCTGGCTGGGCCCACTCCCAGAGTTTCTGATTCAGTAGATCTGAAGTGGGGCCTGAAATTCTGCATCTTAGACGCTGTTGCTGCTCCTGGGAACATACTTTGAGAACTGCTGAAATGACCTAGACCACCATTCTTCCAACTAGTTTCACTGTCATTAGTGTTTCTCAGCTGTAATCCACTTGGTTCTCAAATAATTTCTCAAAAACAAAATCACTTTTAAATATGTCACATCCAATGCTAAAACTCTTGAATAACTAACTCCTCACCACTTAGATGCTAACATCTGAACACCTCTGCTTGACACAGGGCCGCCCAAAACGGACTCTTGTCTACTAAGAGGGTTTGCACTTCAAGATGAATCTTCTGCTCTAGTCCTGTGGTCTTACTATCACCCAAACATGCTTCTGCTCACACAGCCCACAGCTGACATGCTCCACCTCCCCCTCATGTATCCCAGCTCTGCCCTTCCTTCACAATTCCACTGGATTTCACCCTGATCCTGAAGCCGAAGTTATTAGCCAGCACTTAAACATGACAGTCACTCAATAAACATTTATTGAGGGATATAATTAGTTGATCTGATGGATATTTTTCACCTAGCATACTATATCCTAAAGGCCGACTTTTAATAGAGCCTTCCCCCGAAACCTTATCTAATGGCATTATTCTATATGACATGTGGTAGTCAAACACAATCTGACAAAATAATGTGATTAAAACAATAAATTGAGAGGGAAACATATCTTAATCTTATCAGGAAGCTTTTTTGAAATATGCGTTCTTCTCTCCTATACCTATTACAAATATCCTAATATTAGTTCCCCTAGTAACTCTGATATCCCAGGTGAGAGCTACTGAATTAGGGACAAATTCATTATAATGCAACAGGACTCTCTCTAGTTAGATTAAATACACCGTTAAACATCAAGATCCCTCAGGATAACCTTTTTCAAACACATTTATTGATTTCTAAATTTATCGCAGCATATCTGACTCTAAGGAAAGACAATATTTAGCTAAATATAATGGAATGATTGCAAGTAAAAGAATTATTATCATCATAGCAAAGACATAGCACTTACTATGTTCCAGGATTAGTCACCTGAGCTGTTGTATACACACTAACTCACTGAACTGTGAGAAGCAATTCTATGCAGTAGGGAAATCAGTATTACTGTCTTACACTCATTTTCCATATTGTTATAATAGTGAAAAGGGATGTTTAGATAATAGGGACTATGAAAATGTTTGATCTAGGAGGAACAGTTTATATAGGGACAGGATTGGTATGGGAAGATAACTCTGGATAAACAGGCAAAACCAGCAGACATTTGTGAGGAGCTACTTCTTAATATCGGTTGGGGAAGAGAAGAAGAACATAAAGCAAGAGCTGGAGGAGTCCCAAAAGGAGCCCCATGGAAGAGAAGGGAGCCTACCTTTTTCAGACGAATAAACTAAAAGAACTATTTAAATTAAAACATAATAAAGCATAAAAAATTAGGAGCACCAAAAATCTAGTAAAAAAATAAGCAGTAATAAAAACGTTACTCCATGCACCGCATGCTATGAACTAGAATCTACCTTCTTCATAAAAATCGATTTAGTGACCGTGTTCAGCAAAAACCCAAAAAGTACCCACAAGAGAAAATATGCCAAGTTAGCACCATTTAATTTGAAATGACACTTTTAAATATGCAAAAAGAGGTTGTGAAACATTAAAGAAAATCCCCAAATAAGTGAGGCTGTTGGATAAATGTTTTCTGATAAAGATTAGGATTAAAAAGAGACTGAGCTTCTGTGCATGGCGTCTGGTGTAAGTAACATAACATACCTATTTCTGTCAACATCTGTTTCCATTTGGGGGCCTCAGGAGTATCTGGGTTCTCCTCCAACAGTTCTGTCAACTTGTCTTTCAACTCCTGCACTTTGTTTCCATTTTGCTTCAGTTCTGCCTCAAAGGACTAACACCGGGGGAAAAAATACAGTAACGTCATTCAAGTACGTCAACATCAGAAGACTAAAACACAATGATGACAGAGAACGTTTTTCTCTAGCATGACCAAAAGAGGAAAAATTCCACTGTGCAATAGTGAAGTGGGTGAGACCTGGGTTCAGCAGCTAGTTATTTTCCTTAACTGTTCTCACTAGTCTTCAATGATCTGATAAAAGAATCCCAAAGAGGAACACTATAGCTATAGAGATAATGACTCATCCCCATTCCCTAGGAAGAATTTCACATTATTCTCAAACAAATCCTTTGGGGGGAAAAAGGCAGATGACATAAGAAAGATTGGAATGAACAAGATAATCACAGGTGGCGGTGGGCAGAGCGGGGTGGATAGGGATGGAAAGAGACTCTGCTGGGGTGATGGGTGCCGGATGCAGTGTGCAGAGGATGTTCTGTTGAAACCTGTATGGTTTGTGAACCAGTGTCACCCCAATGAATTCAATTAAAAAAATAAAAATAAAATAAAATCCTTGTCAGATAATTCAAACATCTGCAAAAAAAAAGAAAGATAAAAAACTCAGTGTTGACAAAGACTGCCAGATTTGAGAATGTGCTAGTGAATAAGTACTTTTCTGGACAACACAAAATAGAGCTTGAATATAGGTGAGTAGTTTCTAGATGTTCTTGCCATCATTGCCACAGTATAAAACTATTTTCCCAATACCAACAATTGTAGAAAGAAATACTTTCTATGAAAGAACAGGGAAGCACAAGCACCCCTATTTCATCCTAGACAGAACAGATCCCTAAAACACTTAGCCCTTAAATAAATCTTTCCAGTAGTTGATAGGTTATAATCGCAGACTTAAACTGATTTGAAGGTGGCAAAGTTGCTTATACCCAACAGTTCACTCATCTTTATAATGTCTGTGTGCAAAAATAGGTGATTGTTATCATCAATCTCTACGAAAAGGTACGTTAAACAAAACCAGCAAATTATTTGCTGAAGCTTATGGAGCAAGAAATCAAAACGGGCCACCTGAGCACGAGGGCTCAGTTCTGAACCCTGGTCTGTTCTCTCCCATGTCTCCAGTAAGTGTACCCCCAGAATATACCTTATTTTGCTCAACTTGGGTCTTCACAGCTTCAGTATCTGTAGGTGTAGGTGCCTGATGCCATTTCGTTGCAGTTTTGTTCATCTTCTCTAACCAGTGCATCATTGCACTTGATTCTTCCTGAGCCTTGTGCAATTTGGTGAGTTTAGTACTCAGTTCGGTTATTTTGTCCTTAAGTAAGAGGCCAAGATCTTCATAACCATGGCTTATGTCAGTCATATCTTTTTTAATAGATGTTAATCCTAAGAATAATAAAAATTACATGGACACATTTTCTGGATGTTTAAGAGTAGAGCTCTAGAAAGAAAAGTTGGCTTTATATGATATTCCCTTCTACTTTGTCAATATTAAGCCTAGTATGATCAAGTCATAGTAATTTTAGAAGTAAAAGGTTAGATCATCTTATAATGCTATTTAATGACAACTAATTTAGGGATATTACATACTAAGAATGAAATGAAATAGATATTTTAAATAGAATAAAACACCAAAACCATGATATATTACATATTAATTCTTCAGGCATCAAACTCAAGGAAGTAGCTTAATAATATGTCAAATGACAAACTATCACAGATCAACCAAAAAGAGGGAAACATAACCAAATGCCAAATTGAACTACCAGATTTCACTAATTTCAAGTGAAAAAAGTTGGATAGGATGTCATAAAATATGATATTCATGGTGAATGTGACTATTACATTAATTCATTTTAATTTAAGTTTGAAATGTCAATATAACTACTATTCACCTCTAAAAAGATCTCCTCTCAAAAAAGAATTTATTTTAATCAATAAGCACTTAAAGTTACTGTTCACCTTTATTTGCCAAAATTTCCTGAGAATCTGTGGCTGTCCCTTCACCATTTAATATTACTCCACCTGCAAAAATATTAACACTGAAGTCATCATAGGTTTCAATAGTACTTCTATACATTAACACTAGATGACATTACATCAAACTCCTGTACGTAGTAATCATTTAAACATGTTATTACATTTGAAAATGAAAAAAAAAGATTCAATTTCAAAATCAAATGAAGGTCCACAATCTAAAGATCAAGCCAAATACTCTCTTCTACACAAAAAGTATTCTTAAAGTATTAACCTGATCACCTTAAACATCAGAGTTTCAATAAATTTCTATTGCATACTTTACTCATTATATATGCATTTATAATACAATTTTGTGATAAAGTTTCTTTGTTAGTAAAGTTACGTCAGTGATAAAGTCTCTGAAGCTCACAAGTTGGCTAATATGTGTGTTGCACAAAGCATACGTGACTGACAAACAAAAATAACTATTTTATTTAAGGAATTAAAAATTCCAGGTACAGAGTGTTAGCATGAGTTGAATAGAGGCAGAGTGGCGTGAAAAGACATGATAGAAAAGTTAAAAGTGAAAAACAAACACAAAAAACAGCACTACTACTAAACTCACTGTGTGTCAACACAGAGAGAGAACAAAGCGGTCCTGAGAGCCTGGGCTTTGGAATATGACTCACCTGGATTTAACTCCCAGCCCCACTAATTACTAGCTGTGTGACTGGACAAAATAATCACCACTTTGCCAAACTGACGGGGATCATAATACTTATTTTGTGAAACCACTATAAGAATTAAACACAGTATACCCATTGCCTGCAAAATAGAAACTGCTTGGTGAGTAGTAATCATTATTTCTCTTTAATTATATAAACATGTAGTATTGGTACCTTTTTTCATCACCAAATTTTTAAACAAACAATTAGACTTTCTCATTCAAGTATGTATTGGCTACCTGTTCAAAACACAAAGACATTTCCCAAAACTAATCACATGAGAACATGTCTAGACAAAGAAAAACATGTAAATATCTGAATCTGAATTTGAGTTTTGTCCCTTTGAAAAATCACCCACAACAGCATTTCAGATGGTAGTGAAAATATCTCAATATTAATTCCTACTGTGTTTAGTAGTTGTCAAGAATATAAAAATAATAATTTTTACTATTGCAAATATAAAGTGAACATAAAGGACAAAAATAAAACACAATAGAATTCCTTTTCTTAAAAATCAACTTGCCATTTCAGGAAACCTGATTGGGAGAGAAAGGAGAGATCATCACACCATATAGAACATGAGTCTTCCCTGAAATGGGATTAATAGAGCGGAATAAATGGTGGGTTGAGAGGCCCAGCTGGAACATCTCTTACAATAGAGACAGCGGGGGCGCTGGGCAGAACAGATAAACCACAGACCCTCCCAGAAACTCTCATAATAAAGATATGAGATCTGCCTTCTGTCTATTCCCACAACTTTAATTAATGTTACAATCATTATTTATAAATGAGTCTCTTTTTGTGCTAAGAAGAGTGATTCAACAATGTTCAAGACTGTGATTGAGAGAGGATGGTTAAAATATTGTATAATTGTTGTCTTTGGGAATCGTGTCAGGAATAGAAGCAGATGGGAATAAAATGAGAGGTGCACTCTACAGAAAATAACCTGTTTCCTTCCCTCACTTCTTCTTTCCCAGGAGACCAGACTCATTTTTAATCAAATACTTCAAGTGGAAAGTTATTATCTCCATTAATTAGGGTCAAAAAAAAAAAACAAAAAAACTGAAATCTGTTCTTTCCCCTCCCCCAATATAACGTTCCTTATTCTTACTAATTAATTTGGCTACATTTTAGTTGTAGTCTTTAATAAAATAAAACACAAGGAGGATATGAAATGAGTACAGATACTCTTCCATGGCAGCTTTTAATGTCTTTGTAGATGTCATCTTTCTTGTTATTTTCTTTTGCATGTCTGAGATTATTTTATGCATTAGTCTAAAAAGTAACACACTACATTAACATGAGTGGGCCCAATTCATATGGTTTTTTGCTACGAACGTAAATGCAGCACATACCTGATTTAACTGCTGCTATTGCCTTCGCGGGGGTGGTCACAGCGCTTATGAGGTTACATAATGAAATCCCACTGTTGTTTACTTTCTGAATCTCTGGTGTTTTTAAACTCCACTCTTCCTGCAATTTCTTGAGGTATAAAAACACATTATTTTTCAGTCTTTGTAATGTTTCCTCAGTTCCACATTATAATCCAACTTCTTATACATGTCTTAAAATAATGATTGTGGGTCCCGATTCGTGGGGGAGTAGATGGAAGAAAAGGGCATCATCTCTAGTTGCTCCAACAGCCCCGGCGAGTGTTAACACTGTTAGCAGTGAGAACTGAAGTGGGGTCCGGCCCGCATTCTGCTTCGAGGCACAGTGGGAGTCAGCTGCTCCTAGCAGCTATGGGTTCTAAACTGTCAACTGTAAGTATGAAAAACTAGACTAGGTAACAGCCAAGTGACAAGAAGAAATGTACTGGAAACAAATGGAAATTCAGAATTCCACTTATAGTGAGTTTCAATCACCAAAATTTCAATGAATTTTTAAAAACATACACCTCCACAAATTTGAGATATAAAAATCGGTGTAATGGGTCGTAGGTTTGGATAAGTCAGATGACAAAAAGACTTGTCCACTTTGTGCTAGAGATTCAAGTAACTTTCATCTTCAGATAGTGGTCATAGTGATATAGCCAAGCTACAGTAAAATGCTAAGTTAAAGAGAGATTCTTTTACCTAACATTATGAGAAATGGCATAAAAAATAGCTGAAATTAAGCAGAGACTTAGTGGGGAAGGAAATTTAGATACTATAAGAGTCCGCAACTCACTGATATGTCTCTTTTTATAAAAAGCAAATTAATTCCTCAAAAAGATCAGTTAACACAATGCCATGATTTTCAAATATCACCAAAATATACTGTACATGCATGAGGATATAACTTACATGATACTAAATAAAAGGAAACTACTATTAATCTTAACCTCTAATTACTGACCCAGGCAAATGAGAAATTAGCATTTGATATAATGATTCACCTTCGTTTCTTCCAAAGATTTTCCTAAATCTTCTGCACCGAAAGAAGGCTGCACAATGGGAACTCTTTCTGTTGTTTCTTTGATCCATGACTTTAATGATTTAACAAGGACTTGGAAAGCATCCATCTGCCCTTGACAAGAAGATACAGCTTCTTTTCTACATAACAGAAATCATTGAAGAATTTAAGCCACAGAGAGCAGATGCTCCAAAGGACTAATTACTAATAAATAATTATTCTCATAACAGGTTTCATATCAAGAAAAAAATCTTCCTGCATGTACACTCTAACCATTTAATACAGGAGGAGAGGTTTCTAGGTGATAAGTGAAATCAGCTAAACGAGTACAGTATTTGTTTATTTCTCACAGACAAGGTCCATAGATTAAGTTAGGAGAAGAAATCTGTAACCCATATGTAATGGCACTCTATAATGCTACATAAACTCTCAGGCTATATAAACAGTTTTAACATTATTTAGATTCAATGAGCTTTGATCTGTCCACTTTATATGGTGCTTACTGCCAGCAGGCACGGAACCAGAAGGGAAACACTTACACATCACAGACATGAGGAAAACGTATCGCCACCTAGTGGTTTCTACACTATACTACTAGAGTCACATGGGTGGATGGGTAAAAGCAGGTGCTTTAGAGCAAGGATTTCAGTCACCAAAAGAGGTGAGACCTAGTGACTGAAAAGTTTAATGGGTGCCTCCCCTACAGATGCTCAGGAAGCTCCACAGTTAACTAGATGGACCTTTCTGTACCTCAGCACCGCGGAGGGAGGGTGCATGCCTAGCCCACGAACAGCTGTGAAGACAGTTACGTTTGGAACGTGGACGACATGTGGATAACATGTGCACATGTGCAAGTGTGTGGAATATTGGCACATAAAAGTCCACTGCAGCTGGACTAATTACTGATGACTACATGGTTTTAAAATTGAATCCATTTGAAAGAAACAACCTAGAGTTTACCTAAGAAAATCAAGACTTTCTTCTGTGCACTATGTGAATTAAATACTATATGACAAGATGAAAAATGTAGCTCTGTGAGTAGCGCTAGAAAGTTTTAGGTAGAGAATTATAAAGAAATAACAAAGAGTTGAAAGAGAAATAGCTATTTTCTATTGGGGGTGGGGGTCTTCTGTATAAACTTTAGCAAAACCAGATGTACTATGTATTCTGAATTAATATGAGATCAGAAATATAAAAGTTCAGTCACAAGGTTTATTCCTGGACGTAGATTCATACTCTTGTTTTTCATGGAATCGTGTCTTAACTATAAGTCCTAAGAAAGTAAACTCTTAAAAAAATAAAAGCCAGTTTCTGAATTGAGCCCAGAAAGCAATGAACCACAAGCTGTCTTTCAAGGTTATTTCTGCCTTTAAAAATAAAAATGTGGTCTTTGCCAGAGGCTTCCGACACTACAGTGAGTTTAGGTTATTGTCAGTAACACACTACTACCACCCTTTTCGTTACAGCATGCTTTCTCCTTTTATGTGAGAAGTCTTGAATTTCCCTCCTTAACATTTTAACAGAGCTACATTTCATTTTAATTGCAAAAGAATCTATATAAAAACACTTATAAAGTTGGTGCTTATTCTCGAGTTTTTAAAATTGTTTCAGGTTTCTGTACAAGTAAATAAAAACAACTCATTCTATTTAGTATCACAGAATAAAATCCAATTTCTTAAGTGCTGCTTACTTTTCTTTGATGGTATCTTCCATTTCTTTGAATTTCTTTGACAAATTATTTGTTTTTTCGAACACGAGGGCCTTATCACCTGGTAAGCCATGGTTGGCTATCTCCTTCAAGAGATTCTGCAAAACTTCAAGATCTTTCTTGTGTTCTAAGAATTCAGAAGTGGATTCCTACAAAGCATTCAGATATTCAATCAATGCATGGTGTTGCTAAATCTTCAAATGGCATTCCATCAAGAGGTATGTATGTGACCAGAATCTCACATAAAAATAATCCTGCCCTATGGTCAGTATTGTAAATATAAATAAACACGCAGGCAGGCTGTCTGAAGAACACAGGAAGCTTCATTTAATTTAAAAATGCACTCTTCACATCTGTCCCTTCATGAATGCTGGCACATAAGAAGCTTATATCGCCTATGAAATGTGGAAAGTGTATGTGTGAGAAGTGGTGTTCATTTCTAATCCGCGAGCAAAGGCTTCAAGGAGACCTCGGGGTTTGTGAATTTTAAAGGAGGAAAGCAGAGATCTTTACTGATCCATCAGCAACTGAAATGATGATGGCAAATTATAATTCTGACAATATATGTATGAGCTTGTCTTAACTGCTAATGTACTTGATCGGCCTTGTGACTATCAAGGAAGGCATACCTCCATATACTGAGACAGTTCGGTAACATCTCTTCCTGGCACATCCGCCTCTGTGAGAGCCTGAGTTTTCGTCTCCAAAAACGTTTGAAGCTTTTCGGAGAGGCTCTCGAACAATTCAACCTTGCTTTTCAGCTCCTCCATTCTGGCAAGTTTCTCTTTGTGTTTATGACTTGCTTCTGCAAACCGAGCAGACAAGTCCTTCATTTTGGCTTGGAGTGAGGATGCGGTGGACGGGTCTGTTGTTTCCATAAATTTCTTCACTTTTTCGTTCATGGCATTTACACTGCTCTGGCGACTTGCAATGTCCTGTTCCAACATCTGAAATGAATCCAATATGGCATGTGTGTATAAGGATGTTTACAGATAACGTCCCAGAGTTTCAAAAAATTAGCGTTCATCACAACATTAGCTTGAACAACCTGTGACTAAGGAAAGTTAACGCTTGGGACTGATTGACAAGTTTGAGCTGTCCCTTGAGGAATCGCATCCCAAATCTCTTCAAGGGAGAGAAGAGAACAGCTGGCCGGTAGCCTGTGCGGGGCAGGAGGCGGCTGCTACTCAGCAACCCCTGGGACCTAATGGAGCCTGGGGATTATCCACGGCCCTAATTTTTAAAAGGCCAGACAACAACAAGATTGATCTGATTAACCCCACGTGCAGCTGGCTGAAGCAATGAAAAACAAGACAGGACTCTAATGCATGCATAAGCCCTCTGTGATGAGTAATATTCACGAAAAAGAATACAAATGTCTTCCTAAACTCCTCCACGGAAAAATCATTTTCCACATTTGTTTTTGTGTAAGCACTACTGTGCAGTTATATCCAGAAAATGACTGTTTTTCTATATCCTCAAATTTACTCATCCTTGGAGCTTATTTAACTGCGGGTGTGTTTTTTTTTTTTAATCTAAAAGTGGTTATCTTTTTTTCCTTTCTTACATGTCACTTACCATGTTTTTACTGATGATGTCCTGAAGAGCAGAGGAGTTCAAGGGCACCTGACCTTGTTCCTTCAGAGAACTTTCCACACCTGCCATCCAGTCCAGCATTTCATCCAGGCCGTCCTGCACACTCAGCGAGCGGGTGAGGGTTATCTGGAGTTTTTCATTTCGTTCATTAACAGACTTGGACAGATCATCGTATCTCCCAACAATGTCATCTAGTCCCAAAACATCAGGAAGTGTTATCCACAAAGTTATCGTTGCCCTATCCCTTTCCAAAAATACACTAAGGCAAAATCACAAAATGTCCACATCAAAACCGGAAAGATAAAGTTTAAGTGATAGATACAATAATGCAGAATTGCAGCATCGTCTAAAACCTTAAAAAAGAAAAGGTCACGGTGGAAAATGAAAAACAAAAAAGTTTTTAAAATCGTTAATATGGATAGCATCTGCATTTGAAAAAAGAGTTTTGGATACAGAAACATTTGAGTTGCCCCAGAGAGATGAAAGCAGTCCAAAAAGCAGATCTTTGGAGTAAATACATGTTCTCAACCTGACATTTCAAACTGGCCATACTTACTGATAACTGATGGGACGAGAGCTGACACCCATACACAGCTATTCTCAAGGAACAAAATAGTCATTAAGACTTGTCAAGAATTAATCCTACATATAAAAATTATCTCTCATATAAATTAAGCTTCTGTCATTATACACAATGAAAATCCACTTAAAATAGACAAAGTTGAGATTGTGCTTCTAACATGTACACAAAGAGAATGTATTTGAAAAGTTTAATACCAGACAAAAGGAAAAATAAACAAGGTTAACAGGTTAACCTATCTCAGGTGAGATTACCTTTACTTTCGGGTACAGAGACCTAAGATGCTATAAAACAAAATAAAAATCCACCTTTCTGGCCTACATTTTACTTGCATGTAAAGCTCTACATTTTAATACGTCACATTTTAATATCTTACATTTAATATCTTACATTTTATACTGTAGACCAGTGAGAAGTTCCAAGGACAATGGTTTTTAATTACTCCTCTCTCTCTCTCTCACCCTTAAACAATGGTTTTAATTGTTAATTTATCACTTATTTTCCAAGAATTTGAAAAGTATTTTAATTCTTTCTGAATGCTTTAGTCTGATATACTGTAGAATGCTTCAGTAGAAGAAAATTTGGACCTGAAACATCTTTATAAAAATGATGTATCTTACGCGCTTGTGTTTGGCCCGGGGAACATTTCTTTTTAATTGTTGTACTATTATATTGTGAGAACACAGTTTGATGAATTTTCACTGAAGTGAGACATTCAGAAGATTTAAAGAGACAGTCAGGCTCCTGTCGCTGAAACGGAGTGAAGGCCCCCGGAATGCTGACGGGGAGGGGGCGGCACGCATGCAATGAGCCCCAAGATGCCACCAGCTGAGAAAATAGGCAGTGGATTCAAGTATGAGCCCACATTTGAAAGTCACAAGAGCAAATACTCTGAGCTGAAGGTTGTGATTGGCAAGTGAGCTGCTTCTCCAGCGGCAGCTCTGACATCACCAGGGTAACATCAGCTATCTGTTCAGCCATGGCCGCTTACTTCCAGGGCAGACAGCAATTTTAATAAAATCAACACAAGTTCAGTGTCACTGGTATTTCAGGACTTCTTAGAGATGAAATGCTATCACTGAAGTAAATTCTTGATTTTAGTCATTAAAAGTTACTTTAGAAAAAGGTACAGAACAAAATGTACTAAAAATGTTTTCTTTTTAAGTGGTTGGATTTCTCAGAAGTCAGATCTTAGAGAAACTCCTCTAAATGTTAAATATACAGGGTGGGGCAAAAGTAGGTTTACAGTTATGGGTACACAAAACAGTTTATTCTTGATTTATTGGTTATTCATTATTGTACTATTTTCCATATGAACAGCGATAAACTACTTTTGCCCCACCCTGTACTTAGACATATTCCTAGAATATTATGCTGGAGAGAAGTGTTAAAGCCTTAAAATAAAGTAATATATGGATCGAAAACAAATAAAAGCAAAACTATGTATGATTAACAATGGGAAAAAATGTCAAGCTGCCTCTTCAAATAACAGAAATATAAGAAGTAGTCTTCCTTTCTCCTCTAAATCCCTACGCCAAGCCCTCGGAGCAGTGTCAATGTGCGGTGTCAAGACAGGGCATGGGGTACAGAAAAAATATTAGAACTTCCATTCACATTTTTGTCTTACACTTTAAATGTTATATTTTGGGGTTTTATAATCATACCACATATAAGATAGTAATATGCGTGTGTAATTTATCAGTATATGTGCATATTTAAGGGTAAATACTAAACATTATTTCATGGCGTACAAGATCAAAAGAGTTTGGATGTCTGTAAGAAAGAAAAAGAATGGTTTTCCTCTCTATGAGCGGCTTTAGAAGATCAAAGTTTCACCCTTCTCTTTATCTAAAATTTCTACTCAGATTTTAAATCATGCTTTTGGGGGGGGGGGGGGGATGAAGCATGTCTAATCGTCTGCTTGTCTCTAACCTTCTAAAACTCATGCTCCTGCTTTTGACAGAGAGGGATCCACCAGAAGTCTGTTCTGGCCACAGGCTCAGAGTCTAGTTGTGTGCGATCCCATCGACCAGGAGCATCTTGGGAAGTGCTACTCTCCGTGGTGACCACTGGATCGTTTCCGTTACACTGTCTAAACATAACACTGAAACTGAAATACACTTCTTTCGCCCAGAATGAGAAACACCGGGGATATATGCTCTTCTCCGTATCTGTGAGACCCCTTCGCTTAGAGCGCACCTGAGAGGAAAGGGAAGGGGACACCCACCCAGTGTTGTCTGGATGTCGTTCTTGGCTGGCAGCAGAGATCCCCGGGCATCTAAAAGCACTTCGGCTGTTTTTTTCAGTTTCTCGACAGCAACCTGCTGGCTTGATATCTGTCCTTGCAGAGCCTGGAGGGTTGAATGCTTCGATTATACTCAGGACTAAATCACAGATTTTTAACATGAAAAAAATGACTTAACCACAAGATAAAGTTAAATTGGACAGAGTAAACTTTTCCTCATTATAAACTTACTCCGGAATTCTTAGAACAAAGCCAGTTACGAAGGGGCATTAACAAAACCATCCGCCAGTCGGATAATAGAAATTCAGTCTTGAAATAAAGCCTGGAGCATGTGTTCACGATAACAGGCTTAATTCCTGATCCTGTGACCCTCTACCCTTAGCCCAGGTTTCCCCTTCACCCCCACTTCTCGGCTTTGTACAACACCCCCACTAACACCAGAAATAAAAAAACAAATAAAAATAAACAAACAACAGAAAACCTTTGGGACCACTTCTACTCCACTTAAATATATAACTAAGACTTCTATTTCAAGCAGATCCCGAGTCACTACTAAGTCATATTTCTTTCTGTTAATTCAATGAAAGTTACTTAACATCTAACATATTCAAAAAGGTCTTGCTACATTTTGTGAAAAACACAAAAATCAAATAGACTCGAAGCTTCCCCGCAGGGATCTTCTAGTGGAAGGCAGGAAGTGATAAGTGCCAAAAGCGAGTAGCAGAGGGACTAGACGTTGAGAGGAGGAGAAGCTGGAGAGGAAGGCGACAGCACCTCTGTGACAGGCACTGGCAGGGTCCTGAGGAGAGCGTGGAGCAGGGTAAACAGAAGTGGAGACGGAGACACTTCCCTGCAGAACGAACAGAAGGGACAAAGATGGGAATGGAAGCACCGGAGGAGACCTCGAGGTTCCATCCAGTCTGAGAGTCCACAGCTGAGTAGATACAACAGGACTGAAAGGCCTCCAACATCAGGCTGAGGAGTTTACATTTTACCCTGCAGCCGTAGGGAGTTATTCAGAACTTTTGAGCCAGGGGTGGGCGTGCTCGGAGCTGTTGTATGGAAGGCCATGTCTGTGACACGAGGATAAATTCAACGGGGAAGAAATGAAGCATGGACACCAGTGACGGGCACCTTCAGCAGATACACAGTAGAGAGCACCGTCGGAGCTGGGAAAAGTAGGACTGTTACAGGGCTGGAAAGAGTCCACAGGACTTGGGGACCGATGACCTAAAGCCGTGTAGTCCAACCTGGTAGCTACTCAGTGCAGGTGGCTCTTACACTGAAATGGACTGAATTCAAGCGAAATTTAAAACTCAGTTTCCCAGTTGTACTAGCCACATTTGAGGCACTAAGGAGCCGAGTGTGGGTGGTGGTTAGCGTGTTGGACAGAGCAGATGAAGGAGCATTTCCGTTATCACAGAATGTTCCACTGGGCATCACGGCTTGAGAGGGCAGGTACAAAGGACAGGAGGTGAGACGTGAGGAGACAAGTACCCCAAGTTTCTGAACCTAGGTAATTGATGGAAATCGTAAGCAAAAGTGGGAACAAATTCAGGAGCCAGGGAGAGTTTGTGTGGGAATTCGTGGCTTCAAGGAACTTTGAGGACACTCATGTGGAAAGAAACAGCAACGCTGGAGATGGAGGAGACTCTGAACACAGGCTAGAACTAGACCGAAAGCACTGGAAGTCAAGACCCATGATGAGGCTGATGAGGAGAAGGCACAGAAACAGCAGAGAAGGAGGCCATCAGGAATCATGGAGAGTACTTCTGTTTAAGTGGTAAGGAGAGGAACAGAGACAGAACAAATGTGCTCAGGGAGATAGAAAGAGCCCAGAGTAATCCTGTCCCCAAAGTTTAAAGGAAGAAAGTGGAAAGGGTTAACGGCTTCAAGTGGATAATGTAACCTTTCTTTAATTTGCTGCACAGAGGTCCCTGGAGTGAGGAGATGCCTCTCCAGAGCACGGAGGAGGAGAGAAGTGGCGGCAGGAACCCTAGAGGAGCCTTCCAGAAGTTGGTCCCGCCTTCCTAACACCTGAGTCCAAATGGGCTGCCGGGCCACACAGGCCCCATGCTTGGCGTTAGCTTCACTCGAGGTACTCAAGCTTCTTCTAGTCTCACATTTGGATTTCAAATTCAAATTCCCATATGTCCGACTGTAGATGAACTCATCCCTGGCCATGGGCCCAGGTTTCCAACAGCCTCTTGAATGTTTCCATCTGGGTGTAAACAGTCACCTCAAATTCAAAAGGCTAAATCTGAACCCATCATCTCACCTCCTACACCTGCACTTCCTCCTGAGGTTGAATCTTATTACCCAACCTGAGGCTCCACCTAGATTCTCAAGCCTCCTTTCCACTGCAAATCAACCATGAAGACCTAACCATTTTACCTGCCATATATATATATATATATATATGGTAAGGAGAGGAGTGATATACATAGTCAGATAAGTGTCATATATATATGTATATATATATTTTCCGTCATAGTCAGAAGATGGAAAATATATATATATACATATATATATATATTTAAACCAGACTTCTGCTCTGTGTTTCCAGATCATTGCAGGATAATGTCTCATTTAACTGGAAAAAGCATCCTAACTGTGCTCCTTGCCTCCAATGTGTTCCCGGACAGAGGCCCCCAATGTCTTTTGTGGAAAACACTTATCTGACTATGTATATCACTCCCTTCTTTAAAATCGTTCAGTAGCTTCCTATTGACTTCATAACAAAGGTAAAAACTTGAGCATGCAATAAAAGGTGTATCTCTGCATACCAACCTTCCCATGCAACCTGCCCCCTATCATCCTAAGTTTCACTTATATTCATTCTTTGAAATTCAGGTGGGAAGCCTTCCCTAACTCTCCTCAACCCTAGTTATAAGTACTTCCCCCAGGAGCCCCTGTAAGTACCCTGTAAATGTCACTGGGTTTATTTGTCTCTTCTATAAAACTGTAACCTCTACAAGAATTGGGAATTTATGCTATTTGGGTTTCTATCATCACTGCCTAAACCAGTTCTTGGCATATAGTAGGACTGGATAAAAGTTTCTGGAACACAAAGAAATCCAAAACACTAATTCAAAATGATATATGCCATCAATAAATGAGTGGATAAAAATGCTGTGGTACATATACACAATGGAGTACTATGCAGCTGGAAGAAAGAAAGATCTCTTATCCTTTGAGACGACACGGAGGGACCTGGAGAGTATTATGCTAAGTGAAACAAATCAGTCAGAGAAAGACAAGTACCACATGATCTCACTTATTTGTGAAATATAATGAACAAAATAAACGGATAAACAAAATAGACCCAGAGACATAGTAGTAGGATACAGACTGAAAAAACTCAGAAGAGGTTGATGGGGAGGAGAGAAGAGATAGACCAAAGAACTCACATGTACATATGCGTAACCAATGGACATAGACAACAATGCTGGGGTGGGGGTTGGGGGGGCAGGATCGGGAGGAGGGTGTCAATGGGGGAAAAAGGAGTAACATCTGTAATAAAAATAAATTAATAAAAATATATAAAAAAACAAAATGATATATGCACCCTTATGTTCATTGCAGCATTATTTACAATAGCCAAGATATGGAAGCAACTTAAGTGTCCATTAATAGATGAAAGAATAAAGAAGATGTGGTACATGTATACAATGGAATATGACTCAGCCATAAAAAAAGAATGAAATCTTGCCATATGTGACAACATGGATGGACCTAAAGTATATTATGCTAAGTGAAATAAATCAGAGAAAGACAAATAACCATATGGTTTCACTAATATGTGAAATGTCAAAAACAAAATAAATGAACAAACAAAACAGAAACAGACTCATAGATACAGAAAACAAACTGATGGTTGCCAGATGGAAGTGGGGATTGGGAGAATGGGTAAAATACGTGAAGGGATTGAGAAGTACAAATTGGTAGTTAGAGAACAGTCATGGAGAAATCAAGTACTGCACAGGGAATATAGTCGATAATATTGTAATAACTGTGTAGGTTTCAGATGGGTGCTAGACTTACCGAGGTGATCACTTTATAAGTTATATGAATGTGTAACCACTATGTTGTACACCTGAAACTGATTTAATATTGTATATCAACTGTAATTAAAAAATAAATTTAAAAATTAAGATATAATAAAGGGCTATTTAGAAAAATGTTTCTGGAATAAGTAAACAAAGATACAAGGTGTAAGACTTTAAAAGAGCCTCTTCTACTATATTTCAGCCTTCATCAGCAACAATAACAACAACAACAAAAATCCCTAAAGCCAATAGCAATAATTTCCTCAACTTATTTTCATAGCCAAGAAGTTGTGGTACCATAACAGGCAGCTATGTGTACACCAGAGGCCCACCAAACGATGACCCGCCTGAGGCCTGTGATCTGAAGACCAGATTCTACAGCTGTTCCCAGAGGCCAAAGAATCATTTTAAGAGTGAACCTGTCTGGGAAATTCTCCCAGAAGTTTAGTTACAGAAAGTATTATGTAAGAAGTTCTGCAAGGAACTTTACCTATAACTAGATTGAAGTCTAAAATAATTCTTATTTTTTTAGAATGTGGGTTCCCTGAGAGCAGAGGAAGGATTTTCACAAAAACCAACAATGGGCCTGGTCCACAGATGTCTAGCCAATAAACAAATACCTGTGAAAGCTGTCACAGTTCTATAAAATCATCCAGTACCAAAGACGGCCCTGCCTACCACCTTAAAAATTAGAAATGGAGGACAAAAGAGGCGTCTCCTCTTCATGCCTTTTCTCTCCATAATTATGTTTGAGTCAATAGTTTTTAATGGCTAACATGATACCAGCTTTTAATTGAACTCTAGTAGTGTTTGATAGTTCTATTTTCTGGGGGAGGGAAAACTAGAAATTAAAGTATTCAAATGGAAGCCCTATATTGTTTTTAATGGATTTCACTGGAATTAAAACATGAAAGAAGCATCTGTAACAGGGAATACCACAAGATCATGACCGTGGTGTCTAGCCGGACCAGAAAAGGATGAAGCTGGGCATGTATCCAGCTCCTTAAAGCTTCCAGACTTAAGGCCGTCCCAGAGATCAGCGAAAGGTTGTAAGTGGACATTGTCGGTCAACATGACCAAACTCCATGCCTGGTCCCACACTCAGGCCTCAAGACTGGTCCCAGAATCCTGTCTTTCTGTGCTTCACACGGGGAAAAAATTTTTGTAGCATTCAGATTTCCCTAGAAGCAGAACTTGAGGAAATGTCTTTGTAGCCCGGGGCCTTTCGATTGTTGACAACACAGCAAACGGTTCTTTGAACAACAATCCTAACAGCAACATGCTATTGGACAGAAATTATTTCCAATGAACCAATTGGGTTTCCCGAAATGACATTTCCCATACAACAGAATATAAGTAGAAGTTACCTTTGTCAATGTAGAAAAGGCCGATTTTTTTTGTAGTAGTCCTATCTATGTGTTTATATCAGAGTTAAAGAAAAATACTTTTTCAGTGTTGCTAAAACAACCCAAAGCAATGGAGACTGCCTGATTCTCATAAAAATGATCCTCTCTACGTACTGAGATCATCTGTGAGGAAAATACCTACAGGTGCCAGAAACAACTTTAATCACCCATTTCATTTTTAAAATGATGCTGTAGCTTCCTTAGAACTCATTCTCCCCTGAGACGTCGCTGTTCTCTCTACATTTCTCCAGGCACATTAGGGATAATAGTACAGGGATCTGCTCCCGGAGCACATATCAAGCACATTTTCCTCTGTTTTAGGATTAATTCATGTTTCTGCTCGATTTAAATAGCAATACATTCTTTTGGGTTTCCTTTTCTTTCTTTTTGCTCTAGTTACATAAAAATTACTTTTATACTGGTTGTAATCCGTTTCCTAATACAGATCCCACTTAAAATGTGTTATTTCTATTTTACATATTTTCCTCTACTAAAACACCCAGCTACATGATTACATGTAGGCAATCTTAATAAATATCTTAAGCTATTGGCATTTCCTACCAAAACAATAGCTTTTCTGTAATAGTTCCCTCCCACATACACTGTCCTTGGACAAGCTATCGAGTGAGAATCAGAAAATTAAGACAGGTCTGTTCCTGTGCTTGTGGGAAAGGCAGAGAGAAAACAAAACAAAACAAAATGTGAAAGAAAACAAAAAAACAGGAGGCTGCATCAACGTGGGGAGGCTGACCAGGCCCAAACGTCTCCCTAGTGCCTAATGCAGGAACAGGTAAACTCTCCAGCCCAGGACAAAAGGCAGGGCCACCAACCTCCCTACCTCCCCAAGGTCTCCTCCCTCCTCCCACTCCATGCCTCCAGCCCTCTTCTCTCTGCCTTGGTCTCAACCTGCCACATGTCACCCCAGCGTACGACTCAGCTTTCTTCCAGCCAGAAGTCGCCAGTCTCAGGCAATAGCTAATGATAAGCTCACCTGTTTTCCTTGTTAACAGCACAGTAATGATTTTTAATTTTGTAACTAACAGATGCAACTAAATTCTGAAAGGCAGCCAACTGGCAATACAGTATTTACTTGCTAGCTATAGTTCCAATAATACTGCTACACACCTGCTAAAAGGAATCACAGAATAAATTTATGAAGTTAAACTTTCAAACTCAAAATTATTGGTTATGTGGAATAAGAATAAGATGCTTCAAAAATTATCTCCCCTTAGAGCAGCGGTTCTCAACCTGTGGGTTGCAACCCTTTTGGGAGTCAAATGACCCTTTCATAGGGATCACCTAACTCATAACAGTAGCAAAATTACAGTTATAAAGTAGCAACAAAAATAATTTTATGGTTGGGGGTCACCACAACATGAGGAACTGTATTAAAGGGTTGCGGCATTAGGAAGGTTGAGAACCACTGCTTTAAAGCATAAAACGGGGATAAATGATGATGGAAGGAGACTTGAGTTGGGGTGGTGAACACACAATACAATACACAGATGATGTATTATAGAACTATATACCTGAAACCTGTTTAATTTTATTAACCAATGTCTCCCAAATACATTCAATAAAAATAAATTAAAAATAATCATCTCCCCTTCCATTAGGATGTAAAAATACCCTTTAAATTTAAGAAACAGAGACTCTCCTTGCCACTGTGGGTAAGATTAGGACCTCCACAATTATGCAATTCCCACATTAAGCTTGCGTTTTTGGAAGAGCAGGTAGACTTTTTGAGAACTGTGCTAGGTAATAACAAAACTTTGTGTCTCTAAGAATCATGGGAGTATTCAATAGGAATACCAGTCTTGGTGCTCAGAGCCCACATGTGAGAGTGATATCCTTTCTTCCTTCCACCTGTCCACTCTTAAACACATATATGTACTGAGTACCTACGATGACGGGTCAGGTCCTGTTCTAGGTGCTGGGAATATAGCAATGAACAAAATAAACAAAAAGTCTGCCATCATGGAGTTTAATTCTAATGGTGGAGAAAAACAATAAACAAAATAAGTATGTATAATATAAACAAGCAGCCCAGACAATACTGGTTTCTGTTTATGGAGGAGGGAGTGGTGGAATGCAGGTAATAAGCCAGGAAAGCAAGATCCATCCAGTTAAACAACAGTAAAAATACAATCTCATTAGAGAGAGAAATAAATGGCTGTTGAGAACTAAAGTTCTAACTCCCGAGTACTTTTCCCATCCTTTGTTCCACTTCCTTAGGTGAAACTATCACAGAACTGTGGGAAAGGGAAAGGTTTCTTCTCCCTCCCTCCCTCCCTCTCTCCCTCCCTCTCTACCTTGGTCTCCTCCAGTTGCCTCTGCAGACTTTTAGGGTCCACGGCAATGGCTTCAGATAGGTGTTTGCTGGCTGCGGCCTCGCAGGCCTGGAGCTCAGAAAGAAGTCCACGTGAAGCGCCTTCATAGTGTTGGTATTTATCCTCCAGATCTTTAAGGTTATTCCCAAGGACACTGCACTAAAAAAATTAAAAGAGAAAAAGGATAGAGAATTAAAACCTATTTTTATTTGTGTTAAGTAACCTTAGCACTTATGAGTTCTGTAACTCAGAAGGCACCAGATTTCAACCAATGTGAGTGAAAACTGTAGGGCGAACATCTTTCTCCTGTGTATGAAGAAGCATCGTTTTACAAAGTCAAAAGTATCATAAAAATGAGGAGATAATCCTAAATTTATACCCATTTGAAAACATCTTTTCGAGGGCTGAGTCTCAATCCAGAATGAAAGAGTTGGATGTCAATCATCAGAGGAGGTGGATCTACCAGAGCACATTCCCACTGAGTCTTATACACCACGTGTCTAGACATGTATGTTCTAGGATGGAAAGGTTTTTAAAGTGCTCAATGAATCACTTCTATACATTGCACAAGATTAACACAAGGAGGGCAAATAATCTACATCAGAATGAAGCAAAGGCCAAGAATCAGTGATGCTCTCCAAATCACTTGTGCAACTTGGTCAGTCTGTTCAGCTTGTACAGTAAACAGGGAAATATTTTCTTAGCTTTGTTTTATTTTTTAAAAAACACAACTCTTTTACTTGTCCAAAGGAATAAGATAAGCTGAAACAGTCTGAGAGTCGTTAAGTATTAAAATAACACACTGATCAAATATATCTGTAAAACACACACTTGCAGTATTTGTGAAGGGAATCATCTGAGATGAAACTTTAGTTTTCAGGCTTGAGGCTGCAAAAATGAGCAAGCCACTCTGTGTTTGGAGATAAAACATAAACGCCACCTAGTGGTCACATTCGATATTACCTAATTTTAGAGTTAGAACTGCCTAGAAATCACTCAACTAACCAACTAAATAAAAAACTTTAGGCTCCTAATCTGTAAACACATTTTTTTTTCTGAAGTAAAGATGAATAAGACTGAGGTGAATAGGATAAAACTACCTTATTTTCCCTGCTTCCGTTTTAGGTTTCTCGCTTCTACTTCCAAAACGAAAAGTTAAGAGGTTAGCATAAAAACTGTAATTACAGATTGATCTTTCCCTTAAAAAATAAAGATCAAATTACCTTAGAGTAGAGAGACCTGAACCGATCAGTCGCACGGTCCAATTTGCTCTGGACTTCCCTGTGAGCAGCAGGAGTGTCCGCATGATGCTGGTCGGCCTTGCTGCTGTTCTCTCTCTTACTGCAGGACTTGGCTGCTTCTAACACCCTGTTTCCAGAAATGGTGATGTACCTCAAGTCCCCTTTGTGAGAAATAACATCTTCGGAGAAGCTCTTCTGCCTCTTCAACTTGGCCATTAAGCCACTGAAGTCGTCGGCCCCAGCCTGCAGGTTTTCAAGCTCCTGTTCCGCCTGCTGCAGCCAGTGCTCAAACTCGCCGTAATCGGCGTCGAACTTCTCCAGCTCCTCCTGCAGAGAGCGCGTTAACTTCATTTTCTTCTCCGACTCGGCCAGCGCTGTTTCGTAATGCACTTTCAGTTCCTTCATGTTCTTCTGCAGTTTCTCTTTGTCCTCGGGAGAGAGATAGTGACCCTGCTTCTCAAGCAAGGCTTGGGCCGACTGCGTGGCCAGGAGCACGGCTTGGTGCTGGGAGATGATCTTCTCGTGTCGGGCCTGCGGGAACAAGAATCACTGTAACGTGACGGCAGGGACGTGGTCACACTGAGGCTGTGGGGAGCTCCGTGGCCTCAGGACCTACAGACGTCAGTGATGTACAGACAACTGGCTTCTCAACCTTTTCAAGATGCACAGCTTTTACCTTTTATTGGTGAATTTCAGCACCAGCAGGATAGCAAAAGCTACATTCTGAGCACGCTGAGCTTATTTTTAAGATTTCCGAGCATCTCTTGAAAGGACTTATATAAAATCACATTGGACAAGCACTGTTGTTGAGTTTTGGAAAAATGTAACAGATTTTTCTTCCAATTCTAAAACATCTACAGTCAGATCTCCCTTTGCTCACTGCTTCTTCACAACACCTTAAAGACACTGCTAATGCCTTTACTTAACTACTGTGCAAGTGGGTATCCAATTTTTAATAATGAAATGATCCTAAAACGATAATTAAATAGAAAAAAATTGTAGTTTTAAAGTTACAAAAACACTATGACAATAATTAAGCAACAACGTACATTCAGAGAAGCCCAATGAAGTTAGAGGGACACCTAATAAAAGAGAATATTGCAGCCACTAGTTCCACTGGGCCTCAGTTTCCAAAATGTGGAACACGGAAACAACGACCCGTACATGTCACAGGTGTGCTGAAAGGAGTTTGTGATATCACATATGTAGAACACTTCTCAACGAGCCTGACACTTGCCGGGGATTAGAACCCACTCTGAAGGCAGAGAGCAGAGCTTCCAGTGGGTGTGCTGCAAAACGGTCACAGGTGTGCAGAGCTGCCATCAGTCAGCAGTCCGGGAAGCTGAGGGGCCCTGGGCGGTAGAGCCCCTTTCTCTCCAGCTGGAAGCAGCTTCCACTCATCCCAATGTGCCGTGCAAACACGACTGAGGGGATAATAGCCCTGCAGGCAATTGCCCACATTTGTTGTACTGGTTTACATGCAGCCCGACAAGCTCTTGCTGTGACCTGGTCCTCTGTCCCCACGCCAAGCCCTGCAGGCTCTCCCACCCCTACCTCCACCCGCACCTTGTTAGACACTTTAGGACCTTTTTCTCTAGTTCTCCTTTCTGGAAACAGTTCTTCCCTCAGACATCTGCTTGGCAGCCCCCCACCTCCTTGAAGTCTTTGCACAAAAGATCCCACTTAACTCTGAAAAATCGGCCCCCACCCTTACACTCAACCACCCATACCCACTCAACATTCCTCTTAGCAGAAAGTTTCCTTCTAACATCCCACAGAAGTTAGTTATTTTTTGCCTGTCCCATCATCCTTACCAAGCACCAGACAGGAAATTTATTTTGCTCACTAGGAACCCCCAGTACCTAGAACGGTGCTGGTACATGGGGGCTAAATATATGCCATCAACTAAAAAGAACTGAGAAGCATTGCTGTGGGGCAGCTGTTCTCTTACAAGTCTGATCCCAACTGGTGGGCTAAGAACAGGCTCATTAATTTGGTTGTATTGTTGTATTCTCATTGTCTGTAACAATGCCTGAAACATTGTGGGCATGATAAATATTTTTGTCTTAACAGCTTTTCTCCCACAGGTGGTGTCTTTGATATGCAAATTATATTCATCTACTACCCTCCAGTAGGTCTCCTGCACATAGTAGGTTGCATGGACATATAGAATACTTTACAAATGATCTCATGCATCGCCTTCCTTTTACAGATGAGAACGCCCAGGCTGCAGGGCAATAGCTTGGCCCACGGCCTGTGGCACAGAGAGCTAGACACACAACCCTGATCAGGTCATTGGCTCTACCAGGAGATAAGGAATTTCTAAAGCGCTTTCAGAGTCTCATATTCTTAGAAGTTAAAAAAAAGAAAATCAGAAAGCAAATGTCATGCTGTGGCTAAACACAAAGGCTCTCCTATGAAGCACCTATATGTTTGAGTCTACCCACTGGCATTTTTTACTATTTGGGTCAGGTTACTAATCTTTCCGGACTTCTCAGTAAGTGACTCATAATCCTTGAGGAATTTATGAGATTTTTCATTAAGAGACAACTACAGTGAAGTCCCGTAATTATCCTTTGACGTTGTGATCCAGTAAATACTTCCACCCTTCTTCTGGTTTAATTTATATTTCCTGTAACGTAAGATCCTCACAGACAGAACTCTATTCCAAAAACTCCAACTTGGAGGAAAACGCACCGAACTGCATAAGTTCCTACAGTCCAGTCCCCTCCCTGCCAAACACTGAATTACAGTGGTCAATTGTGTGACGCTTTAAAATGGTTTTCAAAACTTCTTTTGCTCCTCTGGCGGCATTAATGTGAGCTCTGGCTCTCATTCCTCTTCTCAACACCAGCATTCACCAAGTAGGTGAGAGACAACGTACAGCAAGCCGGCCTAGGAATGTGGATTAGAAGTTCATAGAGTGACTGAGCGCATGGCCCAGTTTTAAATCCAAACTCCATCCCTTACTAAATAGGTCACTGTGGGCAGTTACTTTCCTCCTGTAAGGTGTAGTTTTCCCATCTGTAAAATGAGAATAACAACCTCAGAGGGAGAGAGTAACTGGGAGAACTGAGTGAGTTAAAATGGGAAGAGCTTAGAAGGGTGCCCTGCCCGTAATTGCTCTATAAATCTTAGCTTTATTATTATTATTTCTTTTTTAAAATCCTCACCTGAGGATACTTTTCCATTTATCTTCAGGTAGAGCAGGAGGAAGGGTGGGAGGGAGAGAGAAACATCGAAGTGAGAGGGACACATCGACTGGCTGCCTCCCACCCGACCCCAACCAGGGCCGGGAACCAACTGCAACCAAGGTCCGTGCCCTTGATCGGAATCGAACCTGCGACTCTTTGGTCCACGGGCTGACGCTCTAACCGCTGAGGCAAACTGGCCAGGGCTACTATTGCTATTTCTATTAATTCCTTATCACCCCGCTTCACTTATAAGAAAGCTGTCTCTAATGACATATTTCTTGTTGTTTCTGACTTGCTTAGAATTCTCACAATTTCTATTTGACATAATGATGAACCTAGAAAAATAACGACCTTCCTCTCAATGGTCACTAAGGTTTGGGAAGATGACTCATATGCCAAGTTTCTCCTGTCTATATAGACCTGACAACAGAAATCTCACAGTATCATGAGGTTGAAGACAACAAACCTTAACTTTCTGGTACTGCTGGTTCAGATTCCCCTCGCTGGTTCCGGCCAGCCCGTCGACACCAGTTTCCAGCAAGTTACCATTAACTTCATCCTCTTCTCCGATCGTTGACTTGCTGTCCCCTTCCTGGAAATGAGTCCCGTTCTGTTCAATCACCTGTTCCTGGCTTATCCCCGCCCTTTCCGAGTCTTGGTCAACATCTGACAACCAGTCCAAAAGGCTTTCTATTTTGGATTTGCTCTCTTCCAGCTGCTTCACAGCTGCAACCTGGAGGGGGCGGGGTGACAAAGGGGATTCTGAACACAGGGCGAGGTGCTAAGACATCCCACAAGTAAATACTGAGATCCGTTAAAATTAGGGTGGACATACTATAAACATGGGCACGCACTGAAGACTGAACAGAAGACTGAACACCCCGAAATTCAACCTTAGTGGACCAGGAAGTTACTCTGAAATTTCCACTGTTCTCAAAAATACATTCCGAAATTTTAGCTATGGCAAGTCATGAGTCCCCACACGCTTCTCAAGCTTTTTGTGGTGTTCGGTCCATCACGAACGTGGGGACCCAGATGCCTGCCCCTGCTGCCCATCCTCGCTGGTGCCCTGATCGCTTTCAACAAAGCAACCGTGTACCACAGGTTTGAACAAGGACCTTTTCAGTCTCTTCCTGGATTGCGGTCGTCACTGCTTTCTCCAGCTCCTTCTTCGACTGTTCTGCCTTTGAGGTAAGTTGTTCACACTTGATCTTTGCTTCCTGAAGTTTCCCTTCGATCAAAGCCTTCTCCTCCCGAGACAGCCTTTCGCCATTCTCCTTTAAGAAGTTCTCTGTGTTTTTCACTATTTCCGCCAACGCCTCCGCACTTCCTTGCATGTCTTTCTGTAATTCCTGATAACACAGAAGGGGGGGGGGGGACTATTATTAAATTACTACCTATTTAATGTTCCCAACGTCGTCCTTCTGAAAGAGGCACTGAGCAAAGGGCCGTCTAGCACGTCTAGACTGAAAAAGCACTCAGTGGCCAATCTGAGTTGGTTTACTTAAATCATAATGCTTAATATAATTCAAACTCTCAAACCGCATTAAAGAAAGAGACGTTCATGTGTAACAAAGAGACACGGCTTGAAAAACACTGAAAACAATAAAGTGTTCAGTGCACAATCTATATAAATTTGCATACACAAGGTTTTTTGCACCATGCGAGCGCATTTATAAAAGCTTTTAAATGCATGACCGTATTATTTATTCTGTTTCTAAACATTTTAAGTTATGAGCTAAGTTGTTCCTAATATACTTTCTATGTGAAGATAATCTCTTTTTCTAAACACCAGTAACATGTTTGCTTCTTTGCCCCCGATTTAGGGAACGAGATAGGAGAACTCTCCTCAGCAATTAACAGCTTTCCTCCATCCAGATTTCTCTATGTATTTTTTCCTCTTCTCTCCCTCCTATATTTGGCATTTCAATTCTCTATATTGCACTGTGTCTGAGCTTTCATATTATTTTCCCATACTTTCAAGACTCCTCAAATGTTTCTGAGTATTTGAACGAAAAGAGATACATATAAAACCACAACATTGCGACATTAACTGTGCGGTCACTTAACACACAGCACTTACTTAACTCTTACAATAACATCGCAATGGAATCATGACCAGTGAAGAAACCGAGGCTCAAAAAGATTACATTATAAAGCTAACAGTGTGTAGTGTCCAGGATTTGAACCAAGAGCTAGCTAGTTAATGAGGATGTTCTTTCTTTTGACATCGAAATACAGGTAACTTTATCTGTTCTTATTGTTTGTTCCTTCAATTGCAGAGAAAGATGAACAGATTAAGGAAGAGCTAGCAAAGAGACCCTAAACTGATGGCTTTCCCCTGACTTGAAAGTGAGTGGTTGGCTTTCAATGGATCCAAGTGTTAACTCATCACACAAGGTATTTCCACTATCAAACCTTCTCTATATCTCTTCCACTCAACATTTCACCAAAAACCAGTCAAGAAAAGTATTTGCCTTGCTTGAAGTTGGAAACGTGACCCTTAGTACATAGTTTATATCGCGTTGGCCCGGGGGCATCTAGGTATGGCTTGCCTCAGCAAAGCTACAACGATTGCTATTTTTCAATAATCCTCGCTGCTTTCCAAGTGATAGTAATAGCACTTAACATCAACACAGAACTACTGATGCAAAAACCAAAGTCTACCTCTTGCTTGGACTGGTACTTCTTTAACTCAACTGTGCCGTCTCCAATCACGAAGGCTTCCTGGTGCCCAATCAGGCGGTTTTCAGTTTGGGTAAGGAGATCACATATCCCTTGAAGTTTCTCTTTGTACTCCTGCTGACGCTCTGCCACAACCTAAAGCAGAAAGAAAACCAAAGCATCTCGAAGGGTGGTCACAAACTCACAACTGTACTAGCTTCTTATTCAAATACATTTTGCACGTTTCCTCTCAACAAGCTTTCTGAGTATGCTGTAAACATGGTAGCAGTGGGGTACAAACGGAGCGGGGTGACGCAGAAAGGAAGAGCCTGTCCCACACACAAGGAGAGAGATCGTGTTTGGATGAAACTGCTCAACAGAATACTGGCCATGCACATTGCAAGAGATGGAACTTCTGACCGACAGGAAGAAACATTCCATTTTCTCAAGCTCTTGAAACCTGCGACACACAATTAATTCTGTAAAAGGATATCAAAACAAAAGTTAGTTGTGATTTGTCGGTTAATATATTTGACATGTGCACATAGGTTATCATGCTAGAGACAATGCCTGGGTGCTTCAAGAAATAACAAAAAGAGCACTGCATGCAATAGTTTTACTTAATCCCTATGTCTAATTCCATCCCCACATCTTGGTTCATTATTGATTGCTACTGGATGCAGCACTCTGATAAAATTCATTAAGTCTTTCTAAGAGATTTATTTCATATATCAATTACTTGCATCTCTCGTTTTCCTATCACACACACACACACGTTTATTCATCTTATAGCCATAGATCATGTTTACTAGGAGCCTAACACACGCTGGGCAAGGTACTGAGTGTTTTTATATACATTAATTTATCAATGCTCACAATACTACCAGGTAAGCACTGTTACTATTTTCAATTTACCAGTGAGAAAACTATGGATAAGTGACTTGCCCAAGGTCATGCAGTGGGTGAGTGCTGCAGCTGAGAGGTAAACTGAGGCAGTCTGGTTCCACAGCCCTGCTCTGAACTGCTGTGCCATACTGCCCCCTAGAGGACAAACATACCCTTAACCTTCTTTATTCTTATATTCATCAATCTATCCCCTGAAATTTCCAAATATCCTACTTCTAGAAAAACAGCGAAGACTCTCGCCTGAAAGCAGTGGCTTTAGGGAGTTATGAAAATCAATCAATTATAGCATTATTATGGAAAACAATGTTAGTCTATATTGTAGACTCTCTACCTTATACCCTGTCCCTTAAATGCCTTTCCAGAAAAGTCTTCCCTATCATGCCATAATCCCTGGGTATCTACATCACAGGTTTCACAACGAAGGGCTAAAAACAAAGAGTTCACAAAGAAAGGCAAACCTTCTGATCATCAAGATCCTGTTCTAGCTGTAACTGAGTCTCTAAGTGTTCCACCTGGGTAGCGACTGATGCCTGCACATCAAGAAAACACCTCTGAGTCGTGTTTAAGAGCCTCAGCAGCTGTCTGCTCTGGCCGGGAGACAGATCCTGTGCGTGTTCAGAAATGAAGAACTGCACATCGAAGGCGGTGGTCTCCAGCTGCGTCTTGGTGTGCCCAAGGTCTTTCAACACGCTCTGCGAAGCAAGCAGTCCGAGTTACCAACAGGGAGCTAAGCCGTGATATACAGTGTACATGAACCATGATATTTATTTCTAAAATATGCTTCTTCTGTCGGGGACTCAAGGTTTTATTGATACTGTTCATTTAGTCAAAAATCTATTATTCAAGGTCCAGTAAAAGATGGTAATGATGAAGTGATTTAATTAGTGCAGTAATTAGTATTATATAAAAGAGATAAACCCTTCTAGAATATTTTAACCTTGCCTGCCATATCACACTTCCGGTACAACTCTGACAAAAGGTGAAGCTCCAACTTATGTACATGTAGCATGTTGAGGGGAGACATCCAGATTAAAATATTGCTTGCTAATATTTATGGTACCCATGCAATTGTGGGAGCACATACATGAGACTGTGAGGGAATTTGAAACAGAAATGAAATGAGCCACAATTTCAGTTTTCTGGCTCCCAAGTCAAGAGCCTACCATCATTCATGAGAAATACTGTTCAAATTAAGAACTTTGGTGGGGGAGGGGGGGAAAATGACAAAAAGGACTAATGCATAAATACTGCTTATACTATGATATATTTCTTTGATTCATTTATACTATTAGGAATTTGACTAATATATAAATCAACACATAAATACAAATCTCAACATGCCAGCAGCAGTAAGTTTCATGAGGCAGTTGAGATAGTGTCAGAATGACATCCCTACAGGGATTATTGTATAGCTGTGTCAACTATGAACAAACATCTCCCAGGGACAAAGAAAAGAAATAATCCTGTTTAGCTTTAGCAAAGTCATAATTTTTCTAAACATCTGATATATTAAAATCCATAGGTTTTGTAATGTGTTTTGTCTTACTTATTTTGATACCTGCCTTGAGAAACTCCAAACTTTCCTTCACATGTTCGGTGCCTTGAGCATGCCCAGTCTCCACGTCCTTCACAGCCTTGCTCTTCTCCGATACCCAGTGCGAGAACGCCTCCAGTTTGCGCAGAAACTCTTCATGGGAAACTGCTAGTTTCGACTAGAAAACAAAGTGTCGTGTTCATTTCTGTCTGTTGCTAAAATGCAAATCCCTACAAATGACGATCCTGTTGTAAGGGCTTCACACTCTAAAAACAAAACACTTCACTGAGGACTACATTTTTAAACGATCAAATTTTCCTCAAAACTCAAACCCAGTGTGAACTGTGCTGACGCCCACCATTTCACAGTCGATCGCAAGCACGAGGTGTTGCATTCTTTCTGAAGACGCGTCGCTGAGGGAAGAGAAGGCATTCTGTAAACGTCCATAGCTCATTCTCAAGTCCTCAAGGTGGTCTCTGGGGAAGTCACTGGGAAGAGACTTTAAGAACTCTTCTGCCAGCTGCATGTCTTTTCTTAAAATGACAGCAATCGGAGCCAATCCCAATTCAAATGTCTGCAAAAAAATAAAATACACATATACACCCCAGCACAATTTAGTGGCAAACACAAATATAACTAATATCCAAGACTTAAGGGTCAAGTGCTCTGCTTATCCAAATTAGCATCAGCTGACGACCATCCATAGCCGGCAGCAGACAATTCTTACCTCTAAATGTTTAAGCTGGTTCTTCAGAGATTCTAGACTGTTATCCAGAGACTCCCGGTTGTCTAAAGGAGGCTTCATATCTTCAAGCAAGGCCAAATACTCGTGCATTTTTGACGTGTGCTGTAAACACTGCTGTAGCTCATTGGAAAACTAAACACAAATTTGGACATTTTAATTCAGTAGCCTCTACGCAGGTTTTTAGAGCAAATAAAATGTATGGGATGATTCCCAAATGTTTCATGCAGCTACTTCCATATGAAATGTAAAGTCAACTTACTTGTTCCATTGAGCCATCTCCAGAAGGCACTGCTTTTGACCCTGAAATGCATTCCAAATGGTCTGGGAAATCACTGCATTGTGCCTCCAGCTTCCCATCTCTTGGCAAGGCCGATGCATGTGCAGTCAAGTTTTCTGGTCCAATTTCTTTTATATTTTGTAAATTAAGGGAACCACGGTTTTGTTCTTCGCTTTTAAGATCATCAAGAATGTATGGCTTTTCATCCACCATCTCAGAAGTCGTCGATGATTTCTGATTCACGTTTCCAACCTGTTCTGTTTTGTCCAAATAGCCATCTGCAAGCAGCTTATAGAAAATATTTTCAAGGTGCAGTGGAACTACTTTAGATGCAATCCCTCTTTTCTCTAGATCGTACTCCATCTGAGTTAATTCTTTTATCAATTCAAATGCTCCGGTAATTTTTTGGCTGTGTTGATTTTGCTTAAGTATATCGAGGAGAAGCTCAGACTGAAGGTTTGCAGTACAGAATGGATCATCTCTGCTCTCTGCTCTTAGTTCTGGTGAGTTATTCATGGGGGAGAGTCCAGTACAGTCACTGATCTTAGAGTCGTCACTGGGCTCACTAGACACATCATTTACGAACTGTGAGGTGCTAACCCTTTTAATTAAGTTTTGAATTAAAATTTTAGTGTCTACACAGGCTGAAGTTTCCCCAACCTCTTGAGAATTCATGTGACCTTCTTTCAATCTACTTTTTAAGATGTCCTTCACATCCTCAACAAATATTTGAGATAATTCAGGAATCCGAACCTCTTTTCCTTGGAATCCTGGAGACAAGGCTTGTTCTTTTTGTGGCTGTTGCTCAATTGTTTCTTTCTCATTGTTCATTTCTAAGAATGAGCAGTCAGTGCTTAAAGTGTTAGTGGAGTTATCATTTCTTATTCCAGAGCCTTCCACATTTCTAAGAGGGAAGAGCGTACGTGTGCTTTCATTTCTTTCTGGTGTGAACTGAGGAATTTCCTTTTCTCCTTCTTTAGTACAAAGATTATTCTGTTGAACCATCTCATTTAGAGATGAGTCTTCTTGAGTAAGGGTTGCCTTCTCTTTTGCATTATCAACTCCTAATTCTAAGTGTTCTTTTATGGGAGGGGAAGCTATTAGAGTACAGCTTGGGATATCTTCATTTGGCTTCTGTGCCTCTTTTGCTTTTACATTTTTTGCACAATGTTTTAGATAAGTAAACAGATCAAGCTCTTTCTCAGGTTCATCAGTGAATGATTCTTTCTCAGTCCCTGTAGTCCCTTCAGACAACCTCTCTGAAGTAGTGTCACTGATCGCTTTGGAAACAGATGAATCAAATATTTCTCCAAGGTTCCCAAATGGAACAGGACTTTTACTGACAACTGTTTGTAGATTCTTTGGTTCATCATTAAGAGTGATAGCTGCTTTTTTAAGGCTTCCTTTATGATTATGCTCTTCATCGTTTGTGATTTGTGCAAATGGAACCTCACTACTAACTAAATCAAGGCTCTCCCTTGTACTCTGACTAGGCAAAAGTTTGAGATGTTTATTATCTTCTACTAGACCTTCCATAAACCTTTCTCCTTTACCTGAGCACATTTTAGGAACTGATGTTTCATCTTCTATTAGTATGTTGTTTTTGTCATCTCTCTTTTTAGTTACATCTCTTCCACTTCCTTGATGATCTTTATCAGTTAGAGAGTCCATAGATGACAAATGGCTTTCCTCAGGAGGTTTTCCTATTAAATCAGGTTCGGAAGTTGAACTGATATTAGTATTATGTAAAGTACCTACAGGGCCAAAGGTGTGTTCAGACTCAGTGTCTGTAATGATGGGCAGCGATACATCCTTAAGGGCCAGCTCAGGACTCAACAGGTTTTCTGTGCTTCTTCCAATCACCTCAGCTGTATGTTCTAGAAGGCCGTCTCTTTCAGTAACTAAGCTACTTTTACTACTTGATTCTGGCTGTACAACATTTAAACTTTGCTGTTTTTCTAAGGAATTCTCATTGTACATTTTATCCAGGAGAATCATTTGATTAATACTTTGATTTTCATGGCTGTTTTCCTTTCTATTCATGGTGGTAGCACAGAACTGGATATCCATACTGTCAGCCTCATCTTGGCACATGGGTCTTTCCTTCTCATCTCTTTCTTCTTCTTCTTCTTCTTCTTCTTCTTCTTCTTCTTCTTCTTCTTCTTCTTCTTCATTACCATCCTCCTCCTCATCCTCCTCATCATCATCATCATCATCCTGATCATTACTGTCAAACATATAATCCCCACAACTTTCTTCACATTGCATAGAATCTAAATGATCAGTATCAGATTTAAATTCTTGTGTAGTTACATACTCTTCTTCTTTTCTCGTTCTCCAAAAGCCAATGTCATCAAATCTTAATGAAGCACTGAAGCTCTCTTTCCTTCCTACTATTTCATCATCAGCCAAAAAGTCGGACTCATCTCCTTCTAGGTTATCTGCACTTTCCCTTCCTGATATGGTTTCCAGCAACTGTTCATTGACCTTGGATGAGACAACTGAATTTAAACGTATTCTTTCATCAGAATCTAACTCAGCTTTCTCTGTACCTATGAGACAATCCAGGAAAGACTGTGCTTGCCCCCTCACCCTTAAGCTATCAGCGAGTCCCCCCTGAGTCAACATAGAATTTTCATCCTCTTTGGGAACATCATAAAAAACATTGCCAGGACAAGCAGCCCCATCATTTTCTTCTTGCAGTGTGGTGTAGTCCTCGGGTTGCAGACAATCACAATCATCACTTTCAAGAAGCAGAGAATCATGGTCATCATCTTCAAATAAGGGAGTATCATAAAAATCATCATCGCTCTCAGTGTCTGTTTCTGTGTCCCTCTGCTGACCATCCAGTAGTGACGTTTCATAGTCACCAGCACTGACAGTTCCTTCAAACAATGGTGAGCCACAAACATGAGAGGCGCTGGCGTTATCAGTATTGCCCACTGGTGTTACGGCACAGGAGTGTTCTTCTATTGTGGACTCATTTTGTGTGTCTTCAGGTTTCTGTTGAGAAGCAGCATGTATATTTTCATCTTCCCCACAAGTATCTGAAACATATTTATCATTGTGATATCGTACCTGAGGATCACTACAACCAATATTTATAGATTTTTGTCCACAGTGTTCTCCCTTCAAAGTGACGTTAATAGCTGCAATTCCTAGAAACTGGTCTTGAAGTTGTTCTCCCATTCTTGGACCCAATGACGTGGTTTGCTCATTGGATGGCACTGTAGAGGCTTCACATTTATTTTCACTGTTCTCTGTGGTGTGTAAAGCATTAGAACTTCCCTGATCATTCCTCAGTTTATTGTGACTTAACAAGGCACTCAGCCTGGGGGAATAGTCAAAGGTAGCTGAATCCTTACTTATATTATCTTCAATCTCTGTTTCTTTCAAGTCCCAGAGTCTGCTAGTTTTTGATTTCACATTAGAATTTGTTATCAAATCACTTTCAAGGTTTTGAATGTTTTTAGAGTGACTACATTCATCTACATGTCCATTTGTTTCAACTTGACTTTGATTTTCACAGTTTTTAGGTATATTTTCAGAGTCTGCAAGTCCAGGCTGTGTGAAACAGGATATAGAGTTGGGAACATTCACACTGGATGAATTCTTTACTTTATGATCTGTAACTATTATATTCACCAGGTTTTCTGACTGATAAAATTCACTGAAATCATTATTTCCCATTTCGTTAAACTCCTCATCTAAGGCATGCTTTCTATTTTCAGAGACCTCTTGATGTTTAGGTTCTCTGCCATAACATTTATTAAAACTGCTTGGTGAAGGTATACTTTCATCCTTTTCTTTACTTGGGGCATTATTCAGAAATATACCAGGGAGTCTTAAGACATCAATACATTCTTTTGTGGGTGTGTCCCCATCGAATTCTGCACTGCAACCTTCTAGAAGCATAGCAACAGCCTCGTTCAAGTCTCCATCATACAGCAAAAGCCTCTGCCCTGTGTTTGCATCCATATAACTATTTATCATCAAATAAGACAGGAATAATTTTTTAGTCTGTTCTGAGGTCTGAGTTGCCATTGGTTCTTCTCTGTCAAAAATGTCCTCTTCTTGTCTGTAGTCGTGGACTGTAGATGGTTGGAATTTACAAAAAGAGAGCCATCTCCTGGCATTCTTACAGGCTTCTAAATCTCCCACATCAGGCATCTTATCAGGGAGTATTGTATTTTTTAAAATTGATGTTGTGTTATCATCTATAATTCCTAGCTGCTGAGCAACATCTAGACCAATGACTTGAGAAGTTTCTGGAATATAAAGAGCAGCTATTTTCTGCCTACCATTCAGGATTTTGTATGCCAATTCGTTTGTGATCAACTTTTGCTGCAGGGAAGAAGATGCGGGAAATATTTCACCAGAGTGAGGCCAAATGAGTCCAACGTAGCCTCGCTGAGCCTCGAGTACCAAAAGAGCACTGCTCGAAGTTATCAAATCACACTGGACTGCTTCATCTACAGTTAAACGTTTTGCAGGGTTTGAGTGGATGATCCCACCGGTTTGAACCTGATAGGTTAGAATACTGCTAGCGGTATCTCTGTCAATCACCCCTTCTGCCACAGCCTCTTCCACAGTCATTCTTTGACCAGAGTTGCCATTGATCAGACCTCCAGAAAGAAGCTGGGCACCTAACAACCTAAACATGGTTTCGCGGTCTATGAGACCTTCATGAGCTGCCCTTAAAATGCTAATGTTTCTTCCACATTTTAATGTTATTCTGCCCCCTTCCTGTGGCCTCACGGGTAGAAGCCGCAACCCAGTGTTTTCCTGTAAAACACTTCTCTCTATAATATCTATTAAAGACACCTTCTCAGAGGTACATGGATCAATGAGGTCTTTGCACATGTTTTGCCTTTCCCAGACTTTAGAAAACAATGCTGAGGAAACCACATTCTGTTGGAAAGCCTTCTGTAAGGTCAACTGTTCTCCTGTGGTCGGAATAACTAGAGAGCCTGTGGAAAGCTGGATCTCGAGAACTCTGATGGCCACGGACTCCGATAGCACTCCTCGGGCCAGAGCATCCAGCACTGGAACCGTGGTGGGAGACACAGCAGAAATAATCTCCTTTGCTTGATTCAGTTCTTTGAGTCGGCACAGAACTTGTTCATCAATGAGGCCATGGCTTTTGGCACCTCTGAGGTCAAAGCATTTTCTTAATTCTGGTGAAATGAGACCAGAAATCATTAGCTGTGTCTCAAGCAACCTTATTCCTGTGTCATAGTCAACAAGGCCTCTTAAAACTGCCTGAAAGACTGAAAGGACTTCTCCAGTTGTCTGGTCAATGGTGCCTGCAATCACTTTATCCAGCTGGAAGGGAAATACAAAGTTCTCAGATCAGTCCATGAGTCAAGGGTGGGCAGAGTTTCATGAAAGTGTGTGTGCATTTTTTAAAATAAATAATACACTGCAACGTAAAAATCCTCTACTTACCAAGGCGCGGCAATGCTGTGAGTGTTAGGCAGCTCAAATGCACAAGTGATCTATGTCAGTGATCTATTCAACAGCACAGGATATGATAAAAGCTTTGAAAACAACATGCATCTGTGAATTGAAAACTTAATATTGTGTACATTAACAAGGTTAGTGAAGACACAACAGAGTAAATGATGACAGTGAGAAAACAGGACACATACCTAGAAGGCAAACCATGCTTTCTGCGATTGGGTGAGATTAGTCTACTAACACGAAAGAGAGTGTCAAACCCCATGCTATTGATGTTTACAGCATACAGACTTCTTCCCAGACAGTCAAACATAATGAACCAGAAGAACTGTTCCATGACCCCAAAATGTGACAAATAGTTTGTAAAGCACTCCAGGAGTAAGGGAACTGAATACAGAGACAATTTTTTGAATACTGAATATTGTGTTGAATATTATGAATATGTATTGTAAAGTTTTAAAAACTTAAGGAGAGGCCAAATTTTAAGTGATTTATGTTATATTTTAAGAAGATGCTAGGGTATCCTGATTGTAACATATGGCCCAGTGTTACTCAAATAAATCTCATGAATATCTGAAAAGCAAACAAATCCTGTAATACTCCAATGTCGCCTGTACAGATGATTCAGAGGCTATTTTATTACATCATATTCAGCAAAATCATATTACAGCAAAATACCTAATGTAGCAATAGAAGGATGGCGTCTAAAGAGAAGAGTTAGAAAAACAAATGATTCTTCCTTTTACCATGCAAGGCAGAGATTAAGATGTCACAGAAATTGATGACAGCAAGTGTAAGATTGCACTTAATAAACAACACTGAAATCTCCAAATACTTACATAAACACCATGTTTTTTCCATGTACACAATTCAAGGTCATTTCATTACCACTGACATACATTTCTATAGTCATGCAATAAAACTAAGCGTCTTGAAATAGCTTCGTATTTTCATAATATTACCTTCTCCTCTACCTTGACATCTCCGATGGTTTGTGATTCTTGTAGTTGCTTCAGAGATTCACTAAACAATAAATTATAACTTTCTTGAAGAGTTTTCACTTGTTTTTCCAATTCATTCCTTTCTTCATCTGTCATTCTAAAATAACCAGTATGAAATGAGGAGTGCAAGTCTTCAAGTGATAGAGATGATATATTAGGCTTAATGATTTTGTACATTACTTTTCTAAATAAATAAATGATCATAAAATAAAATATAATCTCATGTACAGATTGCTCAGGTCTTAGAATGGTTCTTCAAGGAAATTAAGGATGGCCCTAAACACATCTAGGAAACGTCCTCTTGCCTAAAAAAAGGGGACTGACTCAGTGGTTGAGTGTTGACCCATGCACCAAGAGGTCGTCGGTTCAATTCCCGGCCGGGGCACATGCCCAGGTTGTGGGCCTGATCCCCTAGTGGGGAGCATGCAAGAGCAGGCCAATCAATGTTCTCTCTCATCGATGTTTCTATCTCTCCCTCTCCCTTCCTCTCTCTCTAAAATCAATAAAGAAGAAAAAATGTTTAAATAACAACAGCTAGTATCTGACAGCAGGAACATTAGCAACGTTTGTCCCAACATGGGAAAGGGGCAATCAGATACCACTACCCAAGACAAACTTTGTTGAAGCTGAAGGATGAATCAGGAGGATGTTAACCGGATTTGCTAAGGCACAATATACAATCATTCTGGAATAATCCTAAAGTCAAAAGGGTTTAAGAAAAGGGTAGACTCCTTCCCTGCCTGGGGCATTGGCTGAAACACAGGAAGTGCCTTGTTGCGAAAAGTAGGACCAAAATATGAGAAATCAGGTTTCCACAGGTCTCAGTCAAGAAAATGAAGAAATATATACACACATTTTCCAAAAGTCTCAGACTGTACTATTTATATAAAGACTTGGCTAGGAGTCTTCACAACTCACTAGCTACTGATCCTTAACCTCTCTGAGCCTGGTTTCTTATCAATAATATAGGGGGATAATAAGCACCTTTCAGTCTTTTGCTAAAGGCATACTAAAGAGACTAAAAAGGACAATTACTTAAATTGCTAAATTTATAATCCTATGTTATTACATTACTAAGTAAATTTGTGATTGAGTTCCAGAGAAAATTTGGGAAGATAGTACATTTTCCATATACCTCATACCCGATTTCCCTTATTATTATACATTGTTTTATTGTTGACATTAGTATAGATATCTCCCATTGAATGTTCTTAAGACTACTTTCCAACATCGAATAAAAGGTTAATGAAAACTAACATACTTGTCTCCATGTTTAGCCAAAAATAGCTGCATGGTTTGAAGTGCCTCAGATAATTGTTCCTTCTTGGTTAATAGTTCTTCACTGGAAATCTGCAAGGTAAGAAAATCGCATTCAAACTCTGTCCTCATAAAGACTAACCAACAGTAATTTTTAAAAATGAATCAAGTTTTCATCAAGACCCAAATGATGTCTGGGGGATCCAAGTCAATAACCCATTACTAATTATCATTCTATGGGCCTAGATGCGAGGAGTATTTTATATTTAGAATGCATGATTAAGGAAAGCTTTATTATTTCATGAAGAAATAATAATACAGCATTATATGGTTCCTGCATTTGTCCCATGCAACCATGAATCAAGGTTGCCTTAACACCCTAGGTGGCCAGAGGTTCAGCACTGGCCCAATGTCGTCCTTGTACCCAAAAATATACATGAACGAAGAACACTACTCCCAGTGAGTATCTTCATTCCCCCAGACTCCTTTTGAAAAAATTATGTTGACAGTTCCATCTGTATGTCTGTAGATCAAGATTAAATAATTTTTATTGCTAAGACTTTCACTTGTGAAAGTTTCCTGTGATGGTTAGATAAAGTTGATCTGTTTGAGGATAGCAATTAACACTTTCTCCTAATGCCTCAGTATATCATTTCTGAATACCTAATATCAGAAATTTATTGCCATTCTTTTAAATGAGCAGAAATAGGAGCAAATTAGTAGGGGAAGCTAATAAAAGCTAATGTACCCTAAAATGGGCCAATGAAAAGATATCTTTCCCCTCGAGGTACTCTATTTAGAATTCATTTAAAGTCTATTTTTCATGGTTACAGGTAATAATCAGGACATATTGATATTTTAAAAGACATATATTATTCACATCAAATTGCCTTAAATTCCTCTATTAAGTGTTATTAAAAATTTATAATTTAGGCCCCAATCTGCATGTATCTACTTTTATGTCCAGCAGTTCTAAACTGATGAAGTAAAATTTTGGAGACTTTAAAACTACAGAATGAGAAAATACCAAGGGTTTATAATCCACATTTCCAAAAAGAAATTTGTTTTCCCAAGATATCCTTGCTAAGCTCTTGTCCCTATTTTAGTTCTTTTCCTATTTGACAAGGCGGGCATGGGGGGGGGGGGGTGTTTAAACTAAATATATGTGCATGACATTGCTTTGAAGGTTTTGCATTTAAAACGCCCAATGTAATTGCTTTCCAGTTTCTTATTTCTTCCACACTATATGAAGTATATATAGTAGGCAAGACTACGAGCTAGTATGGCTTTATTTCACTGAATAATCAAGTCTATATTCAGGTCTGTGAACTTCCACGGGGAAGCCCCAGATAAAATACATCTGCCTCATGTCACGGGGAAAAATCAGATGACACTGAAGTTTCCCCTATTTAAGTACATCAGCTATGTCAACTAGTGACAAGTGAGAACTGATGCAGAGTTAGCAGGGAAAGCTAATGACAGCTAATGGCCCCTGAAATGTCCAAAGGTCAGGCAGGGCAGGGTGCAGTGCAGGAAAAGTTTTCAAGAAAAATGCTGCTTAACTTGGTGGAAAATTTTTTTAAAACACAGCTGCAAGTCCAGTGCTATCACTAGCAGCCGCAACACTGGAGTTCACACCCTAGCAACCAGCGCCCTCAGAGCTGGAGGCGGTCCAATAGACAGCAGGGCGCACTAACATCTCAGCCGCTGGAGCTATCCAGCTAATGCCAAGTGGTTGGGGTACAGATGATAGGCCCAGAGAACTAAAGAATTCATTTAGGTAAGGGAAAAAAATCTAGAGTTTCCAGTGATTGACTAGAGAACACTGCGTGTAACAGAAAAGGTCCAGAAAGGCACAACCAAATTTAATCCTCAAAAAATGTTAATATCCTAGTTCGTATTTTGTAATTCTTGGAAAGTTTTGTCCTCATTTGTTAAGAATGAGGCAGCATACGTTGCATGGATTTAGTCTGGGCACAAAACAGGATGACTCTGCTCCTCGGTAATTCTCATTAGAGTCATCAAGAATAAGATCTAACCATTAGGAAAAGCAGCATGAGATATTGGTTGACTAATATATATATATATTGTTCAGGCTTTGGAATCAGAAACACCTTCTTCCACCTGCCACATAAGTTACTTAACCTCTCTGATCCTCATTATAAGTGCCCATAAAAATGTGTGTGTGGTGGGGTAGTTAAGGTAAAAAATTAAGCATTGTTTTTAGGTGGACTGTATCATCTCAGTAAATTCTGCCCACTCTTATTATTAACCAGGACCTTAGTGAATACCTTTTGCTTAGAGAAGGGAGATTTTCCAGCCTTCTCTCCATCTCTCAGTGTCTTGCTGATATTTGATACCCATTTCTGTAATTCTTTGGCTTTTTCAACATGCTCTTTTTTTTCTTCTTCCAGTGACTTCTGACAGGTGTGAGTAGTAAGAAAAGATATATTACAGTAAGTGACTGAGCTATGAAACTCACCTCTCCACAGAAAACAAGTGTAAAAATGCATTTTCATTACACACACAGGTTACTGAGATCTTTTATTCATTCACTTAACCATGCTCATCTTGTCACACAGTAGATTTACTTCCAAAATGTTTATGGTAGCAAAGGAAGCTGCGACAAACATTCTTTAATGATCAGAATAACCTCCCAGCTGGTCTATCAATATGACAAATTAAAACAACTTGATTTTATTCATGAAGCACTAGAAGATCTCTGAATTGCTGCCTTTGCATTAGCATTACAAACACAATTGTCTCGACAGAAAGTATGAAAAACCCGAAAGAATAGAGAATGTGTACATGCATTTTCCAAAAAGAAAATAGTTCCCCCTCTTCCAACACACAACCCACTCATCACAAAGTCTAACTACAAATGGGAGATTGTGATAAACATTTAATATGTAAAGAAGGTTACTACATACAGAGAAACTAAAACTTCCATTTTTCAAGGCAATTTGAAGCACTGTGGCCTCAGGGATGCTGGGAGAGAATGTACATCTCTCTCTTTGGTTCCGTGGTCCTTTTGGGAATGCTCTGTCAGTGAGTGCAAGGGACCATTTAATACAGGGGAACCCTCACATCAGGCTGGATCTATTCAGTGATGGGGAGTTCTGAAGAGAGGATGCTCTGAACTTGTTGGAGTTCAAGCTCATGACGTATTCTAGGTAAAATATTTTTATTTTTGGTATGGGCAATGTTGAAAAAAAAAACTAATGTCAAAGCTAAATAAAACCATCTTTAAGAGCAGTAAATTTTTTAGGTTCAATTTAAAAATTATTCTCCCTTCTGAACGTCAGCTATTTCCAGCCCTCCAGAAATAAATATTGCTTTGAGTATGTGACACAATTACTAGACTATGTATTTCCCTGATGTCATCATGCTCTGGACAAATCACCTGAGCTAGAGAGCATCACTCCTGTTTAAAGGTGTTTCCACACGTCCTATTGTGAAGAATAATAGAGGCTAGAAATTCCTGTCATCCAGGGTTCAGATACTTCTAAGAGTTTAAGTCCCGTGTGGAAATCAAAATCAGCTTTTTCTAAGGCTTCTTTATATGTCAACTTCCTTTTTGTTTGGGGACATATTATATTTCTGACATATGACTTCTGATCTTTGAGGCTTGTCGCAAGGAAGACATCTATAATACCTACTTGGAGAGCCTCTTCTATTGACAGGCGGGAGTGAACTTGTGGTTCCATCAACCCCCCAGTCAAGTACTGAAACTCCAAACATCTGATTCCCATTTCCTTACTGATGATGTTTGCATTCACAGCTTCCACCACCGACATCATTTTGCTTGTGACGGGATGGCCAATCCCTGTGATCACTAATTCACACTGTCGCAGCTGCTGGGCAAACCCCTCATCAACTAGGCCTCTATGCAAAGCTTCGGCCACCCGGTACCTTTTGCCAGTAAGAGGATCAATTATGCCCCCTGTGCTGACTTGGGCTTCAAGGCATCTGAGGGCAGTAATCCGATCAATCAAATTCCTACGGGAGGCCTTTAGCACAGAGATCCTTTCTCCACTAGAAGTCAGCCAATACCCCGCAATTGGACTGTGCAAATCCTTCTTGGGAACTAACCGGCTCAGCAAAGAATCAGCGAGTTCTGTAAGTGTGATGAGGCCATCCTGATACTTTTTGACCAAGGCTTTGTCAAGTGTTCCCTGCTCTATGGCCTCATTCATATTGAACTGTAATCCCGTCTTAGTATCGGTCAGCATACGAGAAGGATGCCCGTAGGATTCAAAAAACGTGGCTTCCCTCCACTGGTACTGCTGCCCCGAGAGCTCAAGATATGTACTTTTTTCAATGAGGCTTCTCTGGAAAGCCTCATAGGCCATCAGTTCTGCCCCTGTCTTGGTATCTACTACAGAAATCCTATGAGTTTTTGCTACACTGAGATTGGAAATGTTCCTCTCCCCGAATGGAAACAGAAAGCATTGGCAATCTACATCAAATACACACATTCGTAGCAATTCTGAGTAATACAGAGCTTGCTTGTTATTGGGGTTGGGAAAAACTCGTGTGTTGCTTGATGGCTCATGTAAAAATTGTAGGATGGCATTATTTAACAAGCCTTGCTGCAGAGCAACTTCTGCTGGGACGCGAACACCTCGCACAGGGTCAATGATGCCCCCACTGGCGATCTGGGCCTCCAAGATATGTTTACCTTTCTGTCTGTCAAGCACTCTATTTTCCATAGCTTGAAACACTGACAACGTCTTAGAATTACATAAATATCCCAGGGCTCCCTTCTCTGCCTCAAGGAGCCTAATTTTGAATTCAGGGTCAATAATGCCGTTAAGGACTGCATCTTCGACAGAATATGTCTGACCTGAAATGGGATCGATTATAAAACCTGTTGCAGCCTGAGCTTCTAAAAATGCTAAAGCCATCATTTTGTCTATTATGATTTTTTTGGCTGCGGAGGCAAATGAAATCTTTTCTTTTGTGGATTCTAGGTATAGCCCCGCAATTGAGGTGGCTTTTGTCAAAAACTTGCTAAGAGTTTTCTGAACTTCTCCAACAGTCTTCAGACCAAGTCGCAGCTGCTCGATTGTCTTCATGTCCAGAAGCTTAGCCTCAACCAGCTGCCTGGCAGTCACAGTGTGCCGGAGCCCTTGGAATGTAAATTCATCATCCCTAACTAAGCATGAGGGATCACCCTCAGAGCTCTGGAAGGTCTCTGTTTCCAAGCCTCTCTTAAGAAACTCTCCTCTCTTGAGTCCAAGCATCCATTCTTCAGCACTGGAAACTGGGTTCTTTTCTTGCTTTAATTTTGTGACTTCTGTATGAATGTCATACTGCTTGTTCTTAGCTATCTGTAACAGGAATTTATACAGCATTAAAAGTCATCTAAGAACATGACATAGCTTTACCCATTCTTAATCCAAATATAATTCCTAGAATAACAAATATGAGATAAGTAAAGAGAAGAAAACTTTCAAACTAAAGTAGATTCAGGAACAAGTAATATATTTTGAGAGTCTGAAGCTTATTTTGGATGACAGTTAAGGTATTAAAATGGTATGAAGGTAGAGGGATTAAGCAAAAAAAAACAAAAACAAACTCACACACACAAAACAAACAAGACAGACGACAGTACTACGGTGATTACCAGAGGGAAAGGGGGTGGGGGAGGCAGAAGAGGGTAAAGGGGGATAAATGGCGATGGAAGGAGACTTGACTTGGGGTGTTGAAAACACAATACATCTTGCAGATGATGTAGTATAGAATTGTACCTGAAACATATATTATTAACCAATGTCTCCCAAATAAATTCAATTTTAAAAAGGAGTACAAGAAAAAAAAGACTGAGATGAAATTTTTCCAGAGAACATGTTAGATATTAAAGTTAACTGCTTGCTTTGTCTAGCGTTTTTAGGGGCATACTTTTCAGAATATAATCCCATAGATATAACAGTAGAACCATTACATTTGTGTGTTTAATCTCAAATATTTAAAAATTAAAGATTGATAATTTATGGTAAAGATTCAATTAAATAACTATAAAATGATAGCATTATTTTTTTGTCCTAACATCAAAAAGCCAATCACATTTAACATTATTATTTTTTTTTCTTCCATTGGTCTAGCAGAGAGAAAAAAACAAGAGAGGGAACTTAACATAGGTGGCTGATAAGGTCTCAGAAGCCAGACTATACCTCTAAGGGTGCCAAAAGCTTCACCAGGTCCATTTCACATTTGTCATCTTGACGTCTCACCAGTGGTCTGGAATTGTACAGAGCCTGATCTCTTATCTTCTCTATTTCTGATAGTCTTGAAACAGGTTTATTCTCATCAAAAGTTATCTGCAATTCGGTGCTTGTTTGAGAAAAATACTCAGAGTAACATTGTTGGCTTTTCTCTTTCTCCAGTGGAGTCCTTGAGGGCCAGCTCTGGGTGTCCTGTTCAACCCGATGTTGCCATTTTTCTTCCGACTGCTGTGGTTCTTGCGTCCGTCTCGACAGAGGAGACCTCGGGGAGAGGTCTCTGGAGTGCTGACATTCTTTTGCAGCCACCTCAAAATCTGGCTTGAATGTATAGTCTTTGACCGGGCTCTTTTTTTGGATTTCACACTGGAGCAGAACCAACTGATGTTCGTGTTCCTTTATCTGTTGATCCATTTTTTGCTTCAGGTTTTCGACTTCACGTTTCTGGGCCACCAGCTCCTCTTCAAGTTTCCGACACTTTTGATAATGATTTGCTTCCACATTCTGCCCTTGCTGGATATGCTCACGATACTGCTGAAGCTGTCTTTCAAGTTCTCTGATATTTGTTTCGCAGAGCTTAGCATTCTCTTGAGCTCTGCAGTTTTCTCGCTGAAGAGACACAAAGTCGAGCTTGATGCCTGAAATATCGCTTTCAGTGATAACTTTGGAGCCCATTAATTTTTCCATCTTTTTCCGAAACTCTTCTGCTGAACGCTTGAATTTCTCCGATTCTTCCTGAAACAAGACCATCTTTCTATGGATCATCTTCTCCTCTATGGTCTTTAAGTGCAGTTCGTCTTGTACCCTTTTCAACCGGTTGTTTAACTCTTGCACCTGAGCTTGCTGTAGCTGTACTTTCTGCTCCCCCAGTCGCTTTTGCTCTTTGGAAGCATTCAGCTCAGCATTCAGATTTCTAACCTCTTTCTCGGTGTTTTGGATGATAATGTTCTGCTGGTCACACTTATGCCTAAATTCACTTACTAAATTTTGACTTCTGGCCAGGTCTTCCTCTAAGCATTTAATTTTTTTATGGAAATCCTGCTCTGTTTTCGTCTGTTTATGCAAGTGTTCGTTTGTGCTGCGCAGCTGATCTTTGAAACCATCTGCCTGCATTTTCAGGGCTTCGCATCTTTGCTGGATAGCTTGTCTCTCTAACACCACATTGGCCGATTCTGCCTGAATCCTCTGCATTGCTAACTTTGTTTCGTTATTCTGCCTGATCAGCTCATCTACTTTTTGTTTTTGCATTTTTGCACACTGATTACTTTTCTCCAATTCCTCCCTAAGCTTTTGGATTTTACCATCATTTTCTTTTTCAGCTTTAATATTCTGAAGCAACTGCTCCTGGCTTTTCTCAAATTGTTCTTTTAGATGATCTGACTTCCTCCGGCAGAATTCTATTCTTTCATTAGATAATTCCTTCTCGTCCCGAAAAGAATTCACCTGTGAATTTAAGTGCTGAATATTCCTCTCAGTTATAGCATGTGTCCTCGTGATCCTGTCTACTTCCCTTTGCAATTTCCCCTTTTCCTGCTGAAGAGATTCTAATTCTACCTCATAGTTGCACTTCATCTTCTTAAGATCGCTAGCTTCTTGCATGACTTCTTCAGCTTTATCTGTGGTTTGGTTCAACTGCCGCCCCAGCTCTCTGAGCTGGCGAGAATACCCTTCCTCCACCTGGTCCTTCCTTTCCAACTCCAACTTAAGGCATTTTAGTGTGTTATTTGTTTCATCTAGTTTTTCTTTGAGCAAGCGAGCCTTCTCCTCAGATGAAGTTTTTTCAAGCTGGAGGGCATTCAGTTCATACTTGAGCTCCCTCATGTCTTTCTCGGCCTTTCTGTTGGCGACCATCAGCTGGTCCACCTGCTGTTTGAGCTCCTCCGCCTTCTGTTTGTCGTGCTCCGTCTGTGTGATGGCACATGTGGGCAGCACGTTTTCCCTGCACGAGTACTGAATTTCTGTGATTTTTCTCCTTGCTTCCAATTCGATCTTCTGCTTTTCTTTCAACTGTGCCTCTGCGATCTGTTTTTGAGACATCAGGTCTCTTTCCATCTGCTTTATCCGCTTCAAGAGTTCTTCCTCGTTGTCTCTCTTCCTTCTTAATTCTTCCATTAACTTGTTTCTTTGCTGCTCCAAGTCGCTGAGACTCGAATCTTTTCTTTTCAGGTGATCTTCCAGGGTCCTTCTGGTGAAGGTGTTCTCCTCTAACTGGCTCCGGAAATTGCGGAGGTTTTCTTCCACGGCGGCTCTCTTGGCCTCGGCCTCCACCGTGAGCCGCCGCACCCGCTCCAGCTCCCGCTCCGCGGCCTCCTTCTCTCTCCCGATGGCCTCCAGCTCCCTGCGGTACTGCTTGGCTTCACTTTCCGCCCGGATTTTCTGCAGCGCGATGTCCTCCACATTTCGCTGCTGCTTCCTCAGTTCATGTTCTGCAGCCTCCTTGACCTTCGGGAGTTCTTCCTCCACTTGAGACTTTTGTTTCTTTAGCTCGGCTACCATTCTCTCCAGTTCACTTATCTTCCCCGTGAGTTTGCAATTCTCAATCACTGTTGCCTTCTGCCGCCGAAGCAGGTCGGAATAGGCCCCATGTTCAGAAGTCTCTTTACACCTTTTCATCTAGGAGAGATGTTTAAAAGGGTCAAACCTGTTCTACGCCAGTTGATCTTTTCAAATCTGAAGCAAGGCTCCGGGAAGTACTTACAGAGACAAGTACACCCAAATGCAGAACAAGCACCATCACCACCATCACCACCACCACCTTCTTCAGAGAGGAAGCTTCGGACAGTCAGCAAAAGGAGAAGACAAACACCCTTCATAATAGGTTTTCTGAACCACAGAATCGTTTCTTATTCTACGGTTTTTGGCCTCAGAAAAAAATTGGTTGTAAAAATTAACTAGGATTTTATAGCAAGAAGGGACCTTCCAAAACAGATAGCATCTAGAAGAGGACACTGCGGTACAGGGAGGTTAAATCACTTTGAAAACGTTCACAACAGTGAGTGCTCTTCTGCTCTCACACACAACTTACTCCAAGCCGAGAACATACAACACACAAGAACCGAATGACACGAAATAATTTACTTTTCGATAGCTAGCCCAATGGAAATTTAAGATGCTGTTTACATCCCTCTGTTTTATGGTTAAAGAAACAAAATACAGAAAGCCACACCAGGAAATAAAAGTTAACACGGGGGAGGAGGAAAATGATACAAAAAGTTGTTCTTTCTAAAGTCAAATTTTTACTTGTTTAGATCGTCATATTAGGACAACTGTAATCAGAATTGCTAATGCAAAGGCAGCTACAGTCCCTGGTGGCTTTGGAAGAGATGTGCTTCATATACTCACAGATTTTGTTGATCTTGTTAATGACATGCCTCATACGAATGAATCCACCTTGACAAGTACCTTTAGATACCCCGTAAATACAAAGATATTTATTAAATATAAATGCTTTTAAAAATATACTTAGGGATTCAGCTCCAATGTATAGAATAAAGTGTAAAAAAAAAAAATGTTTTTTTACTCTGTTAATGATAGAATCCATCTCAGCTGGGAGGAATATACTTTGCATGAACTACAGAACTAGATGAGCAAGGCTAGTTTTTAATTATAATTTTAATTATAATTTAATTTCTCTTTATTAACATCATAAGGTTGTTAGTTTCATATCATCAACCCCAAATCACATTTATCACAGTTTAAACACGAGTAGAGAAATTATCCTAGCGAGCAGATTTGTTTTTTGTAAATTGAGAAGCTTTGGTGAATTGCAGTACTATCATTTAAACTACAGACCATATATCTTATTTTGCTTGCTCTAATGTCTTGATCCCCAATAATTCTGACAAAATTTCAGTTGTTTCCTTTGCCAGCCTAAATATGGTTCACAATAAGAATTCGTATAAAACAAATCTCATAGCAGTCTACAATACTTAGTGCTAGTATTCTGTTTATTATGTTGTCAGGGTCAACTTTTAGTGACATTGAAGCATTTCATCTGTTTAAATGCTAAAGTTTCAACATTTTTTGAGTAGTTGATTTCTAATAGGGTCTTTCTCAATTCCTTATTGAACCCTCTTTAAAACGTGGCTATTGCTGAGAAGATTTGAGCCTTTTTTTCCTTACTTATGTTCTAAGGTTTAAAAAATAAAAAACTCTTTCAGAAAAAAATGTTGTTGAACCCCCAGTATTTATTGTTAATAATCTCACATTTAGATACTCTGATTTTTTAGCAAATAATAGAAAAAATACTATAAATAATTTAGTCCTACTGCTGATTTCCATTCTTGTAGATCTCAAACTCATTCATATAAAAATAACTTCTTTAGTTTTCTCTAACTTTTCCCCAAGGAGACATACTGTCCTTTAATCTCAGCAAGTAATACTTGATATATTTTGCTCTCAACATAGACTAGAAAATCTCTTCATCCATCTAATACCCATTACAGATACTTTACTTTCATTCCTGATTTGCTTATCATCTTCTGAAATGAACTTGATTCTATGTTTACTTTGAAAAGTTCTACTTCTCAGACCAAGGTTTCTCATGTGGCTCCTCACAGACTCCGTTTCAGAAACATTACTCGTTGGAGTTACAAAACAGAACTACCTGTCTTTTGTAAAATACATCTTCTACATTCCAGTAATGTGATTAAGTGGTAATTTTTTATTCAGGAATTGTAAAAATCTATTTTACATTATAGTCTTTGCATGGCTATATTGTTTTGACTTTCAATTCACTATAATTCGTTTACATTTCAAAGGATGACAAGCATAATTTGCATATATTCAGGCTGTGTGCAATATCATTTGATTCTATCAGCTTTAGTGTTCTACCTCATCAGATAAATTGAGCAAAGTGGCTCTATATGCACAGTAAGATATATACTATAACAAAGGAAAAGCACTTAAGTTACTTCGTTTTAAATTTAACTACTAAAAATACAATTTAAAATACCTGAGACCTGTGTGCTATTTAATTGTGTCTCTTAAAAAGTAAAAATATAAAAATTATGGATGTTCTTCTATAAATCAGAAGTGTATGGCAATTATTTGAATGGTCACAAATATTCTGCTGCTCCTTTCTAAGCACAAAAGAAGCTAGATCAAAAGACTTGCAATTAGCTGTGTTAGTGATTTAGTTGCAGAAAACTATTAATACTGAACAGACTAAAATAGCTTATAAAAGCAGGTACATTTTTAGAAACTAAGAAAGCAACATCTATCAGACATTTACTACAGTGTTGGTTCTTTCATTATATGAACAGTTAAACTAACTATGATCATCTTCAGAATTTCAACAAAAGTCTAATTTAAAATGACTAATGGCCCACAATTTATTGATTTTAGCATTCGGTCTACTATTTTTGTCTGTTCTGAGGTTAGAAATAGAAAGCATCCCAAGATAATAGAACACAGCATAATCCCTTCAAAAGTATATATAATAGTCTTCTATGACAAGATATTTTCATAAATAACTCCTTACTCTGTCTATTTGTGAACATGTTTTTTAATGCAGAATCCAAGCCACAGAATTCTTCCAAATTAGAATGGCACTTAAACAGTCTTTTTTATTATATACCATATCTTTTTGGCAAAAAATAAACAAAAAAAAACCTCCACAATTATTAAAAAGTACTATCATTTTGTACAAACACCTACTTCTGAATTAATAACTTTTATGTTTTAAATCCATGAATATGTAAATTTATTTAAAATGCATAAAACAAATGTTTTTATATAGTGTTTCTGCAGAATAACAGAGGTAACCACACTTCAAAGAAGTGTACTTCTCAACTGTGAGAAAACTGAGAAAAATTCTGCCAGTGTCAACATTTCATAATTTAAGTAGAACAATTAAACACATTAACCCTACCATATTAGAGTCCTACGGTGAAAAAAATTTTTTTTTCTATTTGAGAAAAATCTCAAAAACAAGTAAAAAAAAAATCCTAGACCTCTACTCTTTTATAATCTAGTAATTACTTACATATCAGCTATCAACCATGTAAATTTATCATGAGACCTTTTTTGTTTTTTCAAGCCATACTATATACTTCCTTTTCAGTTAGCTGTTCATAATTAATGGTTACCTCTTCTTCTTCCAACCTCTTCAGTGAATCACCAGCAAATTTAATATATTGTGTCATGAGGGTGACCAGAGCAGTGTATCGTGTCCGTAGGTCCATGAACTACAAGGAAAAAAATTAAAAACATAGTCTCCAGATGCCCTAAATGAGTTGAATAAATAGTAGGTAATGATTACAATACTAACTAGGCTATGAAACAGCCTCTCCCCAGGAACAGTGGCTGGAATGAGTTTATTACTGTGGTGCAAACCATACTAAATGGCAATTCTCTTCTAAATTTAACCAGGAAGTACATTTATTATAATCTGCACTTACTAATCCTGATTAAAACATTTTCAAAAGGTTTTAAAAAAAAAAAATGTAATTTATAGGTAGAAGCTTTCTTTTTGGAATAATAAAAAATTTCTGTAAATGGTGAGTGGTCAAGATTGCACAACATTGTGAATACCACTGAACTGTGCACTTCAAAATGGTTAAAATGATAAATTTTCCATTATGTATATTTTACCAAACAAATACAAATTTTTTAAAGTAGTGCTTCTTCTCTCTTCTACATTCCCTCCCTTCTCTATTGTACTTTTATTACCTCTTTTATTTCTTGTTTATTAATTTATTTTTGTCACAGATGTTTCTCCTTTTCCCCCCGGAAACACCCTCCTCCCTATCTCGCCCCCCACTTTTATTACCTCTTGAATGATGAGATCTGCGGAGCTCTGCATTCTCCGGCGTTTCACTGGAGATTTTTGTTGTGAATCTACCATAGCCCGGTAGGTCATAGTTTGTAATTCGTAGTCCTGGATAAAGAAGTCAATAGATGAAGTCAATTAAAGCAAAGTGCTAATGCTTCCTAATGGGACTTAGTTTCACTGAGACACTTTAAAGAAAATATTACAAAGCAACACTTTTAGAAATCTATCCAATCCTGAGATGTTCACAGGTGGTAATAAAATCAGAAACATTTAGAGTGGTCAGGAAAGTTCCTAAGTCTCTTTAGAAGCTCATGGAAACATTTACTACAATATGCTAGATATACTCAGCCTCCCTTTACTCTAGCTGGGCTGTGTCCCTGGGCATCTGGATGGCTGAATTTGATAAAAAGCCTGAGAACCCAAAATGTTAGAGGTTCCTTCATGGAATACTCTAGCATTGTCAAAGAAAGGAGAGAGAGAGAGCGCCCAAGGGTAAAAGAAGGAGGGGAAGAAGGAAGGAGAGAGGGAGGGGGCACAAGGTGATTAAGGAATGAATTTCAGAGCTCTGTACTTCTTGTGTGTGTGGAGGGGTGTGGGTGCACGTGCCGTGTGACATAGAGAAAATGAACAAAACAGGCTGTCATGTGACTCAGATTTCAAAAAATTATAGATAGGTGTCAAAAAGTTTCAAATGGAAATTTCCTGTTTTCACTTTTTAACAGAGTGGAATGACTTACAAAGGTTCCGAAAACATCAATGTGGAAGCACATGCCCGAATATTAAATCTGATGCCAGTAACTGAATCCGCTTACCTTCACTGTGGTGGAGTACTGTTCGGCATATTTTTGACACTCATCCATTTTGCTCTGTTTCATTTCTATTTCTGACACCAGCATCTATAAATACACACAATTTAGAAGAAAAACGATGAGGAATTCTATGCTGTTCAACTACTTAAGATGCTCAGGAACCAAGAAATACAGCATCATTTCATAGTATAGCTCCTAAGCCCTTAGCACATAATATGTAGTATGCCTTATGGCTAAATCACAAACTTCTAGATTAAGCCATATAAGTGACCCACACACATGGGGCTTCAAAGCAGACTTGAAGCCTTTTGCTCCCACCTATTCCTGATCAAAACAGAGCTAAGGCCCTGGCCAGTTTGGCTCAGCGGTTAGAGCGTTGGCCTGCGGTCCGGAGAGACCCGGGTTCGGTTCCCGCTAAGGGCACGTACTTCGGTTGCAGTTTGTCCCCGGCCTTGGTTGGTCGTGCGGGTGGCAGCCACTCGATGTGTCCCTTCACGTCGATGTTTCTCTCTCTCTCTTCCTTCCTCTCTCTCCCTCCCACTCTATCTGTACAAAAAAATGGAAAAAATATCCTCGAGTGAGGATTAAAAAAAAAACAGAGCTAAGAATCACTGGCCCCTCCAGATGGAAAAAACAATCTCAAAGCATTGAACTTCCTGTCAAATGTGGCTGTTTCATTTTCTACCACTAATCACTTTCATTTATTGAGGAGCCCCAAAAAACTAGTGTGGCCAGCAAAGTACCAAAGAGATTTTCATACCAATGATTAAATGACCATTAGGAATTTGAAAATGGCCCCATGGTCCTTTCGTATTCCCTGTGTTTTCAAATATGACTTCCAGAAATCAAAGTAAGTGATACAAATATAGGTTTGGATTGCAGGATTTTACTATTTATGGTTTGTTCCCTACCTTCTTCTAAATAGCTGCTGGCTTTTTTCTTTTTACAAGGGAAAGGAAGATAAGGGTTGTTACTAACCAAGTTGTAGACACAACCTTAGTACAAGGAATTGTGTTCACATACCTTCTGTTGATTTAACTGTGTGGCTAGGGTTTTACTATTTGCAAGCTGATTTTCCTGAATCTTTCTCTGCGTAAGTTCAACTTGTTGGACCCAGTCATCTAAAGGGTGATAGGTATCTCTGTAGTACTTCAGCGATTTGCCAATGCCTTCTAAGTCCCGTAACCTAAAAAATCATAACAGAATAGTCAGTTTCCAAGAGTATCCATTAGGACGGTGAAAGGTGTGGTGAAGAAGGGAGAGACAGAGTAACTGTACTACAAGGCACTAAGCAAAACAATAAGGGAATGTGCAAAGAATTCAAGGGTGCACCATCTCCAAGGGCATTCACACTGGTGTGGTTCAATCTAAATATTTTATTCCTGGAGTTTTACAATGGAGATGTGCTCCTGATAATCCTAGGGACAAGCCCAGGAGACTAAAGCTAAAAAGCAGGAAAACTGGAAACTTAACCATAACCATTATCACTTGGCATGTCTTGAATACCCAAAGCTTGCATCAAATGGAAGTTCACTTTTGAAATAAGGGCAGCATAGTTCAAAGACAGGTTCAACATGAGCTGAGAGAGTAATTTCCAGGAATTGTGATTAAATACCTCAGTCTCTATGATTAAAAATCACTACAGTAAAGCTATATACCACATGTTTTATAGAGATGAGATACTCTATATTTAAATATAATTTTACTTCTCAAGAATGGTACTATAGCATAAAAGCATTTTATTTGCATTAATATAAACATGAAATGAATGAGAAAAGACACTATTCTGTTTCATTTAAGGCGAGCCCTAAAACCACCAAATTTCCTTTCACTTTTTTATTTCAGTCACTGGGTGAATGGTTTCAATGTTCTTGTATCTTCAACAAAAATTAACACCATGTCACTGCAATTTCTTTACACTTCTTAGGTCTAGTATAGAGTGCTACATACAGGCCTAGCAAACAAATGGTCCACGCTCTTACTAAGTCTTGTAAGTTAGTAATAATTTTGAATTATTTAAGTATTGTGTTTGAATATGGTAAGTTGGTAATAAGTAGAAAATCATATTGTTTTTTGTCTTCAGATAAAAAGCAAATAGATTATACAGATGCCAGAGTATATCAATAGTTTTAATAACATAGAGTAGAAAAATATTTATGTTGAAGTTAAATGTCTTCCCTAAGTCTACCACATAAGAAATATAATTAGCTAGAGCTCTTGAAATTCATACAATTAACTGTAAGTGAAAATTAACTATGTACATGAAATTAACTATATAAAAACAGTCTAAGAAGTTTAGATTTTACCTAGAATAGAAGGATAGATATTAAATTTGTGCTAAAAATGAACAGGAAAAGATACTAACCTGTTGTCAATCTGAACATGAACATTTTGCCATCTTTCGAATAATTGGTCTGCTTTTTCTTTGTGCCAGTCAAAATCAAGGTCCCGTTCTTTGTGTGTCTTAAACATTTCATCACTGATGGCTTTAGCCTTCTGCAGCTCGTCCTCCAATGCATGGAATACCTCTCTCTTTTCATCAACTTCAGCTCTCCATTGCTAAAATACATTAATTGTGAAAGTTATAAAAATGTGGCAACCACTTACTGGTCAAGCACATTATTTACCTAATTTTACAATTCATTTACAAATGACTTATCTAAAATCAGAGAAAGGAAAGACTATCTTTCCTATACAAGAATAACGTGTTAGGTTGAACCGAATATCTTTCATATACAAAATAATATGTTAGGTTGAACCTTATGAAATTGCTAATATTTGACTGTACTTTGATCTAAAAAAAAAGCCTGACAATTTAATAAAGTTCAGCCTAATGAAATTCGCATATCAGTAAAGCAAAATATATTCCATGAGCAAGTCAGCTACCTCTAAAAGTTTCTTTTCATTGCTTATTTAAAAAATATCTATTAATCTTATTGTTTAAATTGGAATGTATGCATTAAAATCACTAAGATAACTTTTCACAATTGTTTGCAATAGCTTTATTCAGTTCTTTATGTACATCTATAGATACAGATGAGTACAACCACCAGTCTTTTTCTTTTCTCAGATTAATTCCTCTACTAGCCTCCTTGATTTCTTAAAATAATTGCCTTTCAGCAAGATAATATATTATAAATAATGTAATTTTTAGCTTCAACTCCTCTTGCTGCCAACATGAACTGATTTTTAAAAGCTACTGTCGAGAAGATTCAAACTTCCAATGAGATCTCATCTCAAACGAAAAATGCCTGAACATACTTATTTGCAATAAGCTATGGCATAATAAAGATATGAAATGGAATGAATATAAACATAATCAAATTAAGATATTTAATGACTGATGTTTGAAGATCAAAATGCTAGAGAAATACTTTTAGAGTAGGATCTTGTAAAACAGCCAAAAGTAAGACTCATACCTTTAAAGTACTTATTAGATTCTCGATATTATTCTTGTCTGCAGTCACTGCTTCTTCTTCACACAGTTTGGTTTCATAGAGTTTTACAAGGGATTCTGCAGCTTGAGTGTGTTTCAACACCAAATTAACTGTTTTCAACCTAATAAAGAGAATTTAGCAATAGCCTTCTATTAGTAAACATTTATTTCCCCATAATGCAGTCCTGAAGCATCATTATGATACATGGTCTTCACATTGGAACACTGACACAGTAACTACAAGACTAATATTCAGCTGACTCTCTTCTTAACACACAGCATGGGCTGCAACCCATGCCCTAACCCACAAGCAGTATTTAGTAAGAGATTCCAAGATAAGATGCTCTTCTTTCAAGCCTTGTTTGAACTAAGCTTGAGAGGAAAACCCTACAGACCGCAACAGCTGAGCTACTAAAACTACCGGCAAAATATGGGAGGATCATACATTACTCCCTAATCTCTGTGGCACATTCCCTTTCAACATGAAGGGTCGTAAATCCATAGAAATACTTAATGTAATATTATTTAAAAAAATAAGGTGGGAGTGACTGGATACAGACGGTGACGGGATTAACTACAGCACATATATGCATAGCCCATGGACACAGACAGTAGTGTGGGGAAAGCCAAGGGAGGGGGGGCTGAGGGTGGGTGGAGGTGGGCAAAGGGGGACACCTGCAATAATGTCAACATTAAAAATTTTAAAGAAAAGTGAATATTTATATTAATAAAATGACTATTTTAAATGTACAGCATAGATGTAAAAATAAGACAGCTGTATGAAGCAAATTTATATTATTTTTTTAAATTTATTTTTGTTACAAATGTTTCTCTTTTTTCCCCCACTGACCCCCCTCCTCCCAATCCTGCCCAGGTACCCGTCGTCTGCACTGTTGTCTATGTCCATGGTTATGCATACATGCATGTAAGTTCTGCGGTTTATCTCTTCCCTCCCCGCCCCTGACCCCCCTTCTGAGGTTTGTCCGTCTGTATCCTACTACTATGTCTCTGAGTCTATTTTGTTCATCAGTTTGTCTTGTTCATTATATTCTATAAATAAGTAAGATCATGGGATATTTGTCTTTCTTTGGTTGGCTTGTTTCGCTTAGGACAATACTCTCCAAAGCAAATTTATATTAAGACAGCGGTTACATACTTGTCTATGTAAGTGGTAGACATGGAATAGACTTGGTTCATGTTCTGAAGGACCACACTGAGCTCAGATCGTAAGGTAGGGACTGATGGAGAGGCTGCTGCTTGACTGAAAAAGTCTTCGCATTTATTGGTGATTGTTCCCAAATCATCTTTAAGACGCTCCAGCTCCTTCTTTAGTTTCTATAAAGACAGAACAAATATTGGCATTAGGTTTTCACTCCAGATGGAGCATCTTTCTTTAAACTGTTTTAAAACTTACATTTTACATTATGACTATTGACTTAAAATTCTTTACCAAAGAAACTAAGCGATAGCATTCAAGTTTTATTATCAATAATTTCCTTCTTGCCCATCTTTTCAGGCCCACACATCTAACTTAGTGCTTTTGCATGTAACAGAGGATGAACAAACACCTAATGACTTTCACTGTGAGAAGCCCTTACAGCCTCCATCATAGTGGGTAAGAAGGGACCTGTTCCTCTGTTTACCTGAGATGGAGGTAGAACTGAATTAGAGAATTCTAGTTTACAGCACGCAATAAGAACATAATCAGATCTCACTGGGCAAAGTTGAGCTTGTAAGAAGTCACAGGAGTTGACAGTCATTAAGATAGTAATTTACCTTAAGTTAAATTTTGCCCCAATATATTTAGATATCTCACCTCCTGCTCTGTGATTCTGAACACACTTTCATGCAAATCGTCTCTTTCCAGTGGAGTTCGGATCTGTCTAATCAACCGATCCTCGCAGTTCTCTAACCGAAGCCGAATGTTTCTCACTTCAGAGATGTAGAGATTATAAACGGATTCCTCTTGCTCCTCTGTGAAAGGAAATACGATGTTTAGAAAATGCCTTGTTTTCTATCTTTTGGATGCTCTTGCTCGTTACGGCACTTTCACTACTATTGGGACACAGCGAGTCAGACTACTGTCACCAGTTATCATTGCAAACCCACCCTGAGGATATAAACCGTAGAATAGTGACCTTACTATTTACAAAGTTAATAAAATTTCCCTAATGCCATTTGAAGTACCCATTTCTGATTTATCATGTCCAAGGAAAGTGGTATATTGCTCTTTTATGTTCACAAAAATGTGAATTATATTAGTTGCAGATTAATTATAAAAATTAAATTAAAATCCTTAAAAATTAAAGGTAGAGTAAAACGAGTTAATATTTTATAATTTTTAAAATGGAATATTACTAAGACAACCTTTGTCTCTAAGTAATATCAAAAGAGTTTGGAATAAAATTTATATTTAACAAAAGTTAACTGGACAAAAATCTTTTCCTTTAACCCCTGCATAAAACCCAAGTTCGTTATGGGAAATCTCTCCAACTTCCTCTCAGTTTTGCTGTGAATCTAAAAATATCCTAAAAAATAAAGTCTTTTTCAAAAGTCCAAGTTTGATACATGGACAAAGAACTGAATCTTTTCTGAAATGAATAGATCATTATTCTGAACATTACACTATAAAATAGTGAAAATGTTGAAAAGTAGATGCATTAAGATTTTATCATTTGTTATACTACTTGGTTAGCATCTTTCTATTAATTCATCAATTAGAAATAAATAAATCCCTTTTTGCATATTCCCACCTTAAGCATGCTTCTAACATTCCAGCAACGTGTCTGCCTATCACAGGCTCATGGCATCACACACCTAAGACTCAAATTCCCAATCAGAGCAGAAAACAGCCTATACTAAACACCTATGGGGCAAACAGACAAGGATGCCCATGTTTTACCTCTTTCTGCAGATTTGAGAAGTTCTTGATAATACTGCTTACACACATTAACCTCTTTTTCCAGTTGTGTTATATCTGAGCCCGAAAATATTTGGGATTCCTGGCTATCTTCCAGAAAATCTTCAAAACGAGACTGTAGGTTACTCAGAACTTGCTGATGCTCGCCAGGTAACATTGTCTTTATCTGCAGAAGACCAATGACCATATAATTAAGTGATTATAGTACTAATAGCTAAATTTAAATAGGACAGATCTCAGATTAGGGCCTGATGGTATAAACCAGTTCATCTCAATAGTCATAAATAGAAGAACCATTTGAAATTAATTTTCCTCTTTACTAAGAATTTCGTGTTTTAAAAGGCAAACAAGACTATACAATTCAATACATGAAATTAAACTGGACTCATCTCTAGAAGTCCAAACACTATATCTTATCTCCCTATCAAAAGATAATAAGCACTAAATGAAATTTATGATCTCCAGATTTGCCCAATTCTTAGAAAATGCCCTGTATATGGTAGGTATATAACCAACAGCCATGGAATGAATGAATGAATATCGGCTCCTCTGGACTCTATCGTGTTCTACAGCAAATACAAATTCTACTCTTCATGACGAGGTGCCCACATTTTTGGAGAGATTAAGTTGATGTGTAGATTTACACTTACTGAAGCCACATTGCTAGCTCGAATTTTATCAATTTCATTGATGAGATAATGCCAGGATACTACACTCTTCATGTTTATGTGAGTCTCATGCCAAAGAGTTAGGACATTCTGGTACTGTTGTTCAATTCTGAAATGTACAGAAGAAAGCAGATTAAGCCTTTTCCCTCCCTCTGAACACATGCTACAATCTCTCTTCTCTTTTTTTAATGTGTGTGTGTAAAATAGCCCATGTTTACTAGTTTCACATCTTTCTGATCCTATGGGCCTTGACAAAGTATTATTTCTTGAACCTTCAGAGAACTTCCAAACCCGGGGATCTGTTTCTAGCTAATGCATACGAACCTGTTCGCAAAGTCAACTGCTTCTTTGTTTGGTGGAGGGACAGTGAAGCACACGGATGGGACCATCGCCTCATTCCCAGTGGGGCTAATGACCTTCCATTTGGCACGATGAGAGTTGTTCGCCAGAACACATTCATCGTCTTTGTAAATGGTTATCTGGTTTAAAATGAAGAACAGAACAACCAAATGAGATCATTGTTGACTAATCTTTTCCCCATACCCAATCCCGAGATTACTTTTTTGTTTTTTTAAGGTGGAAAACTTTACTAGTGAGCAGCATGACCTCATTTTTTAAATATATGAGCCCTGCCAGAAACCAGTCTGTTTCTAGGAGCTGTAAGTACCTCGATTTGTCTGTAGTCACAGATGGCTTTGATTGGGATAGACGTTTTGAGTGGACAGTCAGGATTCCTTGGCTTCAGCTGAATTATTGTTTTAGCTCTCCCCATCAGGCTTGCCACTGTGCTTTTATACTGCAGAAGTTCTTCTTTCTCTTCCTAAGTTATAAGTTGGATTTTAAATGGTGAAATACTTGTATTCTTTGTTGTTTTGGGGGCTTAACACAAATGAAACCATCAGAAAATTCTGCCCAACTACATGGTCTAAACTGTCAACCCCTCCCCCACCCCCGCCTCTCTCTTCCCTTTTATTTCTTGGTTTTTTTTTTCCCTCTTAGTATTTATCACTTTCTAACATACACATATATTTTACTTATTTGTCATGCTTATTGTCGATTCCCCCCTCAAGCATGTAAGCACTAGGAGAGTAGGGAATCTTGTCGGCTTGTTCACGCTCTTCCTCCAGCCCCTAAAACAGTACCTATCATACAGAAAGTGCATAACAAGTATTTGTGGAATGACTGACCACACACACACACACACACACACACTGTTAAAGCATTTTAAAATATCAAGGCCATCCCATAAATACTTTTTCTTTATGTTTGTTAGCAAAAAACACTAAAACAGTATTTAAATGTTTGATTGAACGAGGTGGAATTATCAAGAGTACCAATAAAATATAAAGTTATGCTTCCTATAAAACTAGAGTAAAAACTACCTAATCCCATTTTACATAAGAAATCCCTCGGTTTTCTCCTTAGTACCATTGACTCCTGAACAAGGTCCTCCAGCTTGTGAATGCTGCTCGATCTATCGCAGCTGTACTTCCGCTGAATGGCATCTTTCAGGTTCCTTAAGTAATCGGTGGCTTCTTTGGCATCATTGAAAAACTAGGGAAAGACAAAAAACTGGTCAAGTATATTTTATATTCCAGTAAAGTACAGAGTTACCAAGTTCAATTGCCAGGGCCCTGTGTGTCCCCATCATCCATGAGAACAGAATAAAATCAAAACAATGCAACTTAATTGCCACATCCCTCCTTTAACCGAACAACTCTTAAACTTGGATAATTATGAGCGAATATTAAATGTCCAAGGTTTATTAGATTCCAAACAATTCTTGAGGAGCAAGATTCCAACAATAATTTAAAACTTCTGAATAATAATAATAAAGTCCTCTGTAATTAAAATACTTCCTTAATAAGACACTCATTTGTAAATTAAGGATTTTTCTGACACTTTAAGGTATTTTTTTTTAAGGATTTCCTCCTTAACAGAAGAATGCTTCAATGTATCCTACAAAACATATATCCTTGGTGTCCTACAGACAAAACATTTCCGTGTATTTCCCCTGCACATTGTATACATGTCTCATAATAAATGATAAAAACATTTTCTGCCAGAATCACAAGGCCATGACTGAAGTGGGGATTCCATTCACATACCTCGAAGTAGGTGGCGTTCTCCTTCAAGTGCTGCTCCACACACTGGCACAGCTGTAAGATCCAGCTCCACTGCGTCTGCATTGCCGCTCGGTAGGCCTGCAAGACAAAGCACAGGCACTGCTGGGGACCGTGTACAGACCCTGCAATATGTTTAAAGGGTAAAAGACTCTAGTATCTACATAGATGGTAAGATTTTTTTCTTAGCAGATTAAGACTTGAAAATTAGCATAGTGATTGTCCCTTAATCGAAGAGTATCACTTGCCCAAAGCCAGTCCTAAAAGTTTAAATATCAATGTGTTAAATAGGTCCAGTTGATTTCTTTTTTTTTTTATTAATTTGTTTTTGTTACAGATGTTTCTCCTTTTTCCCTCATTGACACCCTCTTCCCCAACCCCTCTGCCCCATCTCCAGCTTTGTTGTCTATGTCCATTGGTTAGGGATACATGCATATAAGTTCTGCGGTTTATCTCTTCCTCCCCAACGTCTCTCCTCCTCTTAGGCCAGTTGATTTCTTCCAAATTTAAAACTTTCGATTTTTTTTTTTAAGACACATGGAAAAAGCAACTGTGACGTGAAACAATACTTAACATTTGAAATTAATGCAAGCTGACCCTTTATTCCATTCCCACCAACCCTTTTCTACTCTGTGGAATCCTCAAATAACGCTTTCCTTTCTTTTTCTTTTTTTTTTTTATCGTCACCTAAGGACATTTTTCCATTTTTTGTTCAGATAGAGTGGGAGAGGAAGAGAGAGAGAGAGAAACATCGATGTGAAGGGACACATCGAGTGGCTGCCACCCGCACGACCAACCAGGGCCGGGGACAAACTGCAACTGAGGTACGTGCCCTTAGCGGGAACCAAACCCGGGTCTCTCTATACCGCAGGCCGACGCTCCAACCGCTGAGCCAAACCAGCCAGGGCAATGCTTCCCTTTCTAACACTGTCCCTTTATCTTTCCTTTCTCTGAATTTTTATATTACTGGATCATACAGCACACCTTTGACACAAAATATATGGTTTTGTAGTTTTCTCTTTGTTTTTTGCTTCTAAAACTAAGCCGGAAGCTTTTGGGACCGGGAGATTGATTAATTTGTTTGTTTTTACTAGGAAAATGTTTGGTGGGTGGGGTGGAGAAGCAAGTATGCAATCCCACAGCAGTGTAATTCTGAAGTTATAATAATTATAATACTCGAAACTTTTATTTGTTTGCTTTAACTTTTATGTAAGACAATGCATATCTTTCATGAGAGCAAAGATATTGTAGAAGACGTCTACTTCCGTAGGGGAACATGAAACATACTTTTATATTTAAGGTGCAATTCACTGCCTTCCAGAAGAGGGTGCTCTAGATGCCTTAATGACTACCTTCAGTAAGCCTGTCACACTTCCTCCCTTTGGAAAATCTCATTCCTGCTAACATAGGCTCAGGCAGCCTTTCTGAATGGAAAGTACAGTGCATTTCCAACAGCACTGGAAATCTGGCAACATATCGTAATTACATTACCTGCTCCCTCAAATTAAGCTACTTTGAGTAAAAGGGCTATAAAAGACACATCGTGCATTGTTAGATTATTAGTTTCTTTTTCATATAAAATAGAATATTGTTGATAATTAACTATTTTCCATGTACCCACAAGACACTGAATAGGCCAATGGAATCACAAAGATGACCAATTTTATCCCTCAATAAACTTTAAATCAGATGAACATTTCTACATAAAAGTAATCAGGTTCGCATCCACATTTTCTATTTCCATCAAAATTCTTAACTTATAATCATATATCCTAACAGCTTTCATCTCTCTACTCTAAAGAATATTCCATTTTAGTTCATCATCATACAAAAGTCTACCCAGACCCTCATTATTCTAATTTCTTTCCCCTCTTGTTCCTCCCACTCTTCTGTCTTTAACATTCCTACATGGCATTTCATGTGGATGCAACACTGTTTTAATATAAAAGAAGGTCGAATGCAACATCCCCCAAACTTCCTAATGAGACCTCGAATTTTACTAATCTTCTGTGGCATGATTATTTCAGTGAGCACGTGGCCTTTCCTAACCGGAGAGAGTGTGGAGCATGTCACATTTGAAACACAACTTCATTTTTTCCCCTCTGGAAATACACCACATCTATCCATGTTTGATGTTCTCTGCCCTCTTACGTGACCCCTCTGCACATTGAGAAAGTCACTAACTCTAGCCAGTATATATCAGGCCAGAAAAGTAAACACACCACCAGCACCACCACTGCACGGGCCACCTGATAAATCCCCACCAGGTCTCCACTTCTGGACCGGGAACGTGCACGCTACACCATGAGGCCTTTGCCAGGGTATTATTTCAATACACGTCACAGAACCAGATCATAAGTAATATTATTAATTAAGTGATAGTAACTAATACTTCTTAAGAACATACTACACACCAAGAACTGGACTAAATAGTAACAGTACATTATTGCTCTCAGTCTCGTCACAACTCTCCAGGCGAGAGGCAATTTTCCCATTTTAGGTAGATGGATGAGGCTTGGCAAGGTCACATCACTTGTGCAATGTCACACAGTCAGGAGGAAATACAACGTCAAAGCTCAGAAAGTCAAGGTCCTTCGTATTTACTGCAAAACACCTCTTGGGTCACAGAGGTTGACAAAGGTACCTTTACTTTAAGTGATGGGTGGGTGACACACTCAGACCAAGAAAAGTGAAGGCGAATCAGTAGGACTTATCAGAAACATTATTTTTGAGCCAGGTTGTAATAAAAATTTGATAGCTTTCATTTTTCAATGTATCAACGATAAAAGAATCTATAGGGTAATAATTGAATGTCGATATTCAACCATGACTATTACATCTCCTGACTCACCTCAATAGTTAATCGGGCTGGGTGATTTTCCAGAAGTAGCTGCTCTGCTATCTCCTGAACTGACCTAATATTTTCTTCCTTTTGCTCCAGTTCTCTCATTAATTCCTAATTCAAGAAAGAATTTGGAAATGTATTAGAAAAAGATCTAAACCTGAAATACCACTTTAACACTCAATTACAAAAACTGCACTCACAGCATGGTAATCTTTTTTCCGAGCTATGTGGGTATTTCTTTCACTCCAGTCATATGCAACTTCCTCCTCTTCTTTTTCATTCAACCAAATAAGTTCATTTGTTGCACGAGTTATAAAATTATGAAGTGTATCAAGGTGCCGTTCCTGATTCCTGGAGGTATTCTTTATAAGGAAAATCGTTGTAAGAATTATGTCTTTGCCAAATAAAGATAAGGGGAAAAGAAAGTTTAAAAAAACTTACCAAGAGTTTTGCATACTGACTCTCTAATCTGTGCAACTTTTCTGCGTAAGTTAGTTTAAGAGGTGCCGTCATTTGGATCTATAATATGGTATAAAAAGACACCAAGGTTAAGAATCTTAAAGAATTCTGACTCATACTCAGTGTATCTATTATCTTGTTACAGGGTCTTTATATAAAAAGCAAAATAACAGGAAGCTAAAATGAAATATATACAGGTTTTAAATTCATATACCTCACTGATCTTAGCTTCTTTAAGGCTAGATTCAAATTCTTCAATAACTCGGTGAACATTTTTATGATTTTCTAAATGGCTTTCAACACTTGGCAAATCTGATCCCCATTCGGTGCAGTCCAGCTGCCCCTTTAAATAGAAAGATACTAGGTTTAAAAGAGAAATTGATAACAACAAAGATGGAAACTCTCAGGTAAAGTAAACATTCTTTTTTTACCTGCATCTCATCAACCCAATTCAAAAGATCCTGAACAAATTTCATGTTGATTTCCTCTTCTGTTAAATTCTGACCCAATAAAGAAGACTTTAGAAGGGGTTTTCGGATCTGCATCAACTTCAGGGTTTGCAATGAATTTGTATCTACTCCTGAATTAAAATTTGGAACTAATCCTGTTGAGAAACCAGGTGCGTAAACTGGAGTGAGGGAAGGAGTCAGGCGGGAAGTCAGACCTGATGACAGGCCTGATTTCATACTAGACGGGGTCAAGGAAGGCGTTAAACTCTGGGTCAGCCCTGAGTTCAGACTGGGGTTTAAGGTCTGTGCAAATCCTGAGTTTAAACTTTGAGTAATTCCTGATATCATGAGCTTCGTCTGTTCTGTCGTGAGCATGCGTCCTTTGCTGTACACTGAGGAACATTCATTCCTTAAGGCCATAATTTCATCACGCAGTTTTGCAACCCTGAAAAGAAAATCAAAAGGGATAAGCTGTAATATAAAAGGCATTTTTCATAAAGAGCAAGCCATAAGGTAAACTATGGACTTTAGTTAACAATAATGTGTCGATATTGGCTCATCAACTATAACAAATGTATCACGCTAATGCAAGATGTTAACAGGGAAAGGGGCATGTAAAGAGGTATATGGGAACTCTCTGTACTTTCCATTCAATTTTTCTTTAAATCTACACTGCTGAATAAAGGTTATTATTTGGAAAAGTCATTGTAATCATACTGATAAAATTTTGCACCACAATATTTTTCATGAAATTGTACTATGAGCACTTTCACTATCACACAGTCTTTATAACTATCATTTATAATAAACATAATTACAACACTATGATGTGATCATTCTCCTATTATTTGACCTTTAGGATATTTCCAATTTTTTGTTTTTATCAAACATTTCTCACCTGAACAAAAGCTTTTTTATCTATATTTATTTTTATATGTGTTATTATTATAATTACTGTAGATTCCTAAAAGTAGAACTGAATCAAATTTGCCTTATATATCCCATACATTCATAGAAATATATATATATATTTATAAATATATATAAATATATCCCAAAAGGTTCCAACTCTATCCCCAAACCTACTTCCCAGAGGTATAGATTTTTATACACATATATTTTTATATAAAGAGAAAACTAGAAACTTGAATTAAAAACAGATACTTTTCAAATATACTCCTTTTCAAATGTCATATATATTTTAACTATATGTTCATTACTACAATATTAAATATTGTATGATTATAAAATGTTTTTCTATTACTTATCTTTGAAGAACAAATACCTTTTAACACATCAAAATATACCAGAATTAATATGACGTGCCTTTTCAACTGAAAAGCACTTAAATAAAATTCATAAAATTGTCACACTCTACATTCCTATCTAAGTGCCCATGAAATGGTTATACAAAAAGACAGGATATGAATCAGTAAGTCGCACATTTACCTCTGTACCAACTGATCTGCATGGTAATATTTCCCATCAATAAGTATCTGTACATCGATTACATGCTGTCGTAGAAGGTTCTCACATTCCAGTATGTACCCGGCAATTTCTGCTTCATTCTGAAACTGCACCCCTGATTCTAATCTTTTAGAATCCTATATTTTAAAAGAAGTCAATATTAATTTTGTAAAACAAAGTTTCAAAACTAGCATCAAATGTAAAACTCAATATATTGGAACACAAGGCTACTTAGGTTCTGTTTTCCCTTTCGGTTCAAAAATATGTTTTGCCTTTGCCCACTGTCAACAGAGCAAACAGTGCTGATAATCTTTAACAAATTTGAAGTTTCAGTTCGCAAAAGTACCAAACAATGACCAAATGTTATGCAAAAGTTCTGATTCATCCAAATGCGCAGGCTCCTAAAATTAACTTACAGACTGCAGAGCATTTCGAGCAAGTATCAGTTTGTCTTCACAGATGACACTGTCCCTTTGAACTCGGTGGGCAATCTGCTGCAACATTTCCAACCTGAAAGAAGGAACAAAATGAAGTATAGCCTCTCCCTTTGAAGTCGCAGAGCTCACAATCACTGAAAAATGCTGCCCACCGAAAGTAAAACACAATCCCACACCAATGACTCAATACCTGTGTCCATCCACCGATTCATTGCCGAAGCTAATGCAGGAGTTGATCAATGTCGGACCACAATGAACAGAGAGAAAATTTTCATTTGAATCGAGGCTGGTTCGAGTGCTAGTAGTGTTACTAAACACAGAATCACTACTATGGTAACTATAACTACTACTGTGCATTTTTATTCCTGAAATGCTATTCTTTCTTGACCATTAAAAGTAGAAGGTCTGCAAAAAGCTCTACTTCTAAAGGTGAAAAGTGGCAGCTGAATGTTCCGGCTTTAATAGCTCCTTAAATATGCTCCAACATGAATATTCAACACACAGCAAATAATATGCTGATAACTATTCAAAAGTATCTCGCCTAAAGCCAGGTGTTTGCTAGCTAGGGTTTGCCTTTTGTAGCCTGCATTAAAACCCTACAAGTATGGACAAGGCAGGCTGATGGGGCGTCACCGAAAAAAACTGGCCAAATATTTTCACCAAGTGTCATACAATTGCAACCACCTAAAAAACAACGCAGATGCCTCACTGAAGCCCAGGTACAATTAGTAAAAATTATTCCAGCAACAGCAATCATCAGCTAAAAAAAAGACACAAAGATTCAATTATAGCCTGACTTTTGTAAAGGGCCAGGTGTATACGAAATAAACAAATGCACAGGCTAAATGCTGGCACTTATAAGCATGTATAAACAAATTTGTCTGATGAGGAACAAAATACATTCCTGTTTTAACTACCATGTCATTTGTTTCTTGGGTTAAATTAACTGGAGAATGGCCCATTTGCCTTTCTTTACATGACAAGCTTTCAGGAATGTTACTCTAATCTTACTACAGTTACTTTATATTTGCAAATGTAATTTGCCTGTGCTTGTTTTTCTGTTCCTGGAATAGAATTTCTCATTTGTCTTCTACACACTCCCATGGCACATAGCTATTATTTGCAAAATATAGTGAATGCCAAAAAAACTTGTTGCATCAAGAAAACTGAAAGTATTTATCCAAACAAGCTCCTAAATATTTTCTAACCCCAACACTACAAAGCCAAACTTGCTTCTCCACTCTCAAGGTTGAGAAGGCAAGAAAGGGGACATTTGAGAATGCTATATCAAATATAGTTAGTAAACAGAAAATCTCAAAATAATAACAGCAGCACCTAATGCCTATTAAGCAATTATTATGTGCCTGGAAATTAATTGTTTTACATACATTACCTCATCTCATACTCATAACCACCAAATGTGGTAGATACTATTACATCTTGTTTACAAATGAGGAAACTGAGGCTTAGAGAGGTTAATAAACTTGTCTAAAATGACAGAGCATGTAAATTGAGCTAATAACTTAATCCAGGATGGACTGATTCCTGGATCTTGGACTCCTAACCACTGCATTTTTTCATTAACACAGATGAAAATCTGGTCCCTATTCTGATGACTAAAAACCAACTCCATGTCCTTTCCCTGGTAGACTTTGCCATCACTTCAGATGATTAGCTTAGTATCTCATTTTGATCGCCTACCAATGCCTCCTCCATAAAAGGTCCATCCCATGTATTTCAAGTTTATTTGGGTTCTAATGGCCCAGTTATGTAGATATATTATTATGTTTGAACGAGAGTGTACTCAGTAATTTAACAAAGCACTGGCACATTAGACTTGCTCTCATATTGTCAATACTTTATTTCCTATTTCGACCATGCTGAGGGCAAGCGTGGGGCAGAGACCACGAGTACGCCAAGCGCCTCTGCCTGTGCCAGGCACTGTGCTAAATGCTGGCAACACCAGGGGCAGTAAAAACAAGAGTCCTTCTCTACACTCTTGGAGCTCGTAACAGTGGGACAGGTAACCCTTAATCAAAGGATCACAGAAATAAATATAAAATGACAACTGAGGTAAGTGCATGAAGGAACAATACATGTACACATGAGACTTACAATAAATAAGACATCCAAAGAGCCTAGGAGACCATGGAAAGTTTTGTGAGGAAGTAACACTGGAGCCAAGATCTGAGAATGATTAGGAGAAAAGAGAGGGGGAGGATGAAATAGTCGTCCCTGCCAAAGGATCAGAGGGTTGCAAACCTCCTGGGGATGGAGAGGGTGGGACTTTGGCACTCCAGAGCTCCTGAGGGAGCCCAGTGGCTGCACCGCAGAGAGCAAGGAGGGTGTGGTGTGAGAAAGGCTGAGAGGTGGGAGCCCAGCCCCCATGAAGCTCACAGCTAGTGAGGAACAGAGATCTCAGTTCCCGCGTATACTAATCAGGCCGTGAGGTGAGGACTAGAATGAAGACAAATGCATCCTATAAATGTCTCCTGAGGTACCTTCCAGGGACACTGGGAATAGTGGGAGAGACAGGATGATGAAGAGTCAGGGACAATTGAATGGATTAAATGCACTTGCAGAAATGTCCAAAAGGGAACCTACCCCGATATTTACTGAGTGTTTTCTGGAAGCCACCTCACTGCCCTTTAAATGAAGGCAGATGAGACTCTGGTTTCCATTGCCCCACAGAAAGAGGGTCATAGCCAAAAATATAAGAAACAAAATCAGGTAATTATTGACCTGTACATTTCCAGATCCAGTCCCAGGTCAATGAAAAGCCAGTATGAGAAAAGCTCATGGGTCATTTGATAGGTTTTAAACCTGTAACCACCTTATCAGATGAAACATATCAACCCAGCCTATTGGGTCCTCTTTGAGCATCACTTCATTGATTTAATCCTTCAAACCTCTTAGAAGAGTTTCTAGATCAGAAAACGAAGCATCTGAAAGATTGAGTGACTTATCTAAGGTCACACAGCCAAAGAAATGGAAAAGGTATATGTTGGTCCTAGATAGTCCTGGCATGAAACTGTAAGTTCTTTCCATGAGATCAAAGAGACTCCGCCCCCTCCTCCAGTTTCCGTGGCAGAAATAACCCCATGTACCTCTCCACTTCTGGACGAAGTGCCTTCTCCCTCTCCAGCATGGCGATGATGAGCTTCCCCCACTCCTTTTCGATGTCATTTGGGTGATAACCTTGAAGAAGTTTGATGCGTCCAAATTCTATCCACATCTTGAGGAAACAAAAAAAATCCAACGTAAAACAAATAATGTAGAAATAAATAAATGAATAATGATTATACTTGACAAAACAAAGGAAATTTCTGCTTACCTCCAATAATTTATATAGGCGTTTAATTTTCGATTTTTCTGTCTCCTTTGGGGGAATTTCTGTTTCTTTAAACTGTAAATATTGATTGTAAAGTGCCTAAAATGAAAGGGGAAATAAATGAAGGCTCAAACTTCTAAGATCTGTTTTCATCATGGTCTAATGTTACCACTTCAAATGCTACCAACGATGTCATATGCATCTAGTGGAATTCCTTTATAAAACTGACGCTCAAGGCCCACGCCGATGCCAACTAGTTGGTGACCGGTTATATAAGACTTGATGAGGGTGTAACTATTTTTTTGTTGTTGCTAATCCTCACCCGAGGATATTTTTCCATTGATTTTTAGATAGAGTGGAAGGAAGGGGGGGAGGGAGGGAGGGAGGGAGGGAGGGAGAGAGAGAGAGAGAGAGAGAGAGAGAGAGAGAGAGAGAGAGAAACATCAATGTGAAAGAGACATCGATCAGTTAGTTGTCTCCTGCATGCACCCCAACAGGGGCTGGGGATCGAACCTACAAACCAGGTACGTGCCCTTGACTGAGACCCTTCAGTGTTCAGGCCAACACTCTAACCACTGAGCCAAACCAGCCAGGGTGAGGGTGTAACTGCTGATGTGAGCTGTGCTTCAGCAAGTGCCACACTGGTGTCTGGATAATAACAAACCACGGTGGTGCTTACTATGACTCAACTAAATGCCTCTTGTCATACAAACAAGAAAACACATCCTTTAGAAGATATACTTTCCAACGATGGCAAATTAGCTTTTGGAAAAATAATCTTGATGCAATTCCCATAAGGGGGGGGGGGGCTGTTCTTGTCAATACCATGGATCTAGAAATTCAAATTCTTATTAGATAGATGGAGCTAAAATCTGTTGTCAGTGTTGCACTGGCCAAGTAAAATAGATCTCCTAGTAACCAAAGATAGGTTTTATTAGTGACTGCTTTATTATAGACAGAAATTAAATTATTATCTAGTTTGCAGATACTAATAAGGAATCTCTTGTTATATTTACTAAAAAGGGCCTTTATAAAAATACATAGATAAAATATCTCCACATTTAATAAGTACATACTAATTATTTCATCCTAATTCATGTTGTTTGTTTGTTTTGTATTTATTTATTTTTTGTTGTTGTTGAAAGTATTACAGATGTCCCCTTTTGTCCCCACTCACCCCCTCCTTCCCGCTCCCACCCCCTCCTTTTTGTTTGTTTTTTTAAAGTCCCTTTAAATCTCCAGGCAGACACATCTCTATAGGACTCCACTCAGTGTTTTGCTGGCTAATAAAATTACTAGCATTTTCCCCATATATATTTTGTTTTTCAATATTACATCCTATCCTAGGTACCAGCAAGTAGCCTGGGTAATCACTCAAACTTTTTCCAAACGTTTAAGCATCTGCATTAATCGGAAGCCAGTACAAATGTACCCAAGTGTCTGGACAATAGGAATTCATTTGGAAATAATTTGAGTTTGAAATCTGAAAATTATTGTGAACTTAAAAGAACAGTGTTTCAGGACATCCATCAGTAGATAAGCACAGACTGTTATTATATGCTAAGTGCTACTCTTGGTAAGTGTAGTGAAACCCTGCAAAGAGTTTGGTCCACACAGAAAGACTTCACACCAACAACTGCATAACTCTCAGAAGGCATCGTATCAACACACGCCCAGTGACTCTGAGCCAAGGCAGGCTCCCCGTCGCTGTGAATGAAAAGCTGCCTCACAGATGTTCTGTACAGACGATGAACACAGGGAATAACTTTAACAGGGCCCACCCGGCTCATTACAGTTTTTGTGAATCCTGTGTGGTCATAAAAACGAAGCTTATAAATTCAAGGACTGAGACTTTGCTGTTAATATTCACATTGTTCATTCCTGAAAGAAAGCCGACTATTTTGCTGTTGCAAATCCTAATATACAAAATGAGAACACATTCTTCAGTTAAATTTATATAGCTATAATGTTTTTTATATATATTTTTTTTAATTTATTTTTTTACTGATTTTAGAGGGAGAGGGAGAGAGAGATTGAAACAACGATGAGAGAGAACATCAATTGGCTGCCTCCTGCATGACCCCCACTGGGGAGCGGGCCCAGAACCTGGCATGTGCCCTGACCAGGAATCGAACCAGCAACCTCTTGGTGTATGGGTCGTTGCTCAATCACTGAGCTACACCGGCCGGACAATGTCTTTTATATTTCTATAATGTCTTTGCCTCAAAGAGTTAGACCAGTTTTTAGGTAGTAGCATATGTTTTACTAAACCATGAATTCATTTATACTGGAGGTCAGGTGTGTATTTTCAAATTCATAGCGAAATATAGTATGGGCCCCCTGCTATACAAAGGAAGGCTCTGAAGCAGTTTTTAACAGAACTCGACACCAAAGGCATACTCACAACCACCGTCACCCTTGCGAGCTTCCCAGGGTCCCTCCTACTCCTGCCATCTGGTGGGCTCCAAACATTTTCTACTCACCAAAAACAATTTGACAAGGTCACTTTCAGAGACCCTCTCAAACCTTAAAACTCTCAATTCCAAGCAAAGGGACTATACACTCTTTTAAGATATTCTTGCTATTATGACTAGTGCTTACCTCCATTTTCTCTGTATAATAGGAAGATGAGTACATTTTTTTTAAATGCTACTTATTAGTGGCTTGCCAAGGGCAATTTTCCTTGAACTTCTTAATAACAGAATTGCCCTGGCCGGGTAGCTCAGTGTGTTAGAGCATCTTCCCGAATTGCCAAGGTTGCAGGTTCGATCCCTATCAGGGCACATACAAGAATCAACCAGTGAATGCACAAATAAATGGAACAACAAATCAATGTTTTATTCTCTCTTCCCCCTTCCTCTCTCTAAAAGCAATCAATAAAAAAATTTAAATAACAGAATTACTACCACAGTATTTAAAAGTTGAATAATCAAGTCAATCCTACTTAGCCTGTAGTGCCACTGACCTTCAGTTCCACGGGATTATTAGGGAACGTTCGCTCAGACATTGTGGTCACGTGGTGCCGAATCCACTGAATGAGGTAGTTCACCATATTCTGGTATTCAATCCATTTGACTTCGACATCCTAAACAATAGAATGACAGAAAAGGCCCATGTCTGTAGACAGCACCATTTGTATCTCACACAATTTAGTCAGAGGTCGTTCTGGGAATTTACGTTATCTTTAAGGCTGACAGAGAACCAGCTAAAGGTTTTCTTACTTTTCACGTAGTCCCCAATCCTTTCCACATAAACAGCTTTAAAAGCATGCTATCAACATTTGACCCTAAGACTGGCCTAATGACTGCCAATTCTGATCCAGAGAGAGGCTGCTGGGCACTGTGCTGAGAAGGGTCCTGAGGCAGTGTCCAGGCTCAGCAGAAATGAAGTCCACAGCCAACGTGCCAGGGGCTCAGCACAGGAGATGACAGCTTGCACCAGCCAAGCCAGTCGCCGTTCTGCCAACCTTGATAGATCTAAGTCCACTGTATGTATGGAACTCAAAAGAGTCATACATTATGTAAGAAACTAGATAGGAATGCAAACTACAGGAAAGGTATATGGTGAGATTACTCAAGTACTCATTTAGCAAACTTTTTAAAAATGGAAGAAGCTGGAAGGTTGTTAACTGCTATATTCAATTAAGTTTTTGATGAGTGCTCATTATGTTCCAAGCATTGGGCTAAGTGTTGTAATAAAAATATAATGCTTTAAGGCATAATACCTATTGTCAAAGGGTTACTGTCTACACAGGGAGGCAAGAGAGATTAAAAATATAAACAGCTTAACAAATTAAAACCAGTATTTCATCAAGTGTTGAAATAACGGAAATAGGTGGTATATGCTAGGAGCTGAGATAGGAATCAAGTAAGCATAAGTGTGCCTAAAATGGTCACTAAAGGTTTCTTGGGAGAGGTAGCCCTCTGAAACTTCCAATATGTAATTTTTGGTGGGGCAGAGAGGAGGGGATACAAGATGGGGGAATTCCAAGTGAGTCGGGACTCTGAGGCAGAAATGCCCTGGCTACCAGCAAACAGTTCGTGTTACGCTGTCATAGCTAAAAATGAAGGCAAGCAGAAATAATCCATGTCGAATTTTGAACGTCAGAATATCTAGATAGGATTTCATCTTGCAAGTCATATGTAGTCGGTGAAAGGTTTCAAGCTAATTTGGCAACAGTGTGCAGAGTTGATGGGAAGAGAAAACTAATGGGAGATGGAAAACCACAAGGATGCTATCATTCTGGTTCTAGTGTGGGGAGGTAAGAGTCAGGGATGGGGTGGGGGTAGTAGGTAGTGAGACAATGAAGCAAGGAACGGCCACCAGAAACATTCTCAAGCAACACTCAACACTGAGTCGTTGGAGAATTTCATTGACTCAGAGGACAGGATGAACATGGGAACAAGTTCCTTAGGGGTTAGAAGAATAGAAAAGACCTTTGAAGGAAAGAACAAGAGGAAGAGAATGAAAATAAGTCTAAAAATAACAGCATGCGGAGGTGGAGACCAAAACAGAGAGCTCATCAAAATGAGCTTTTAAATTTTAAAGTAATTTTTTTTAATGGTACCTGTAAGGAGGAGGGGAGAAGCCCAGGGTGAGGTGTGCCCATCCCCAAATGCATAACCTGGACAGGGTTTCCTTTCTTTTCCAGAAATGCATTAGCACTCGTTAGCCTGACCACTAGAAAATGCATGATTGAACTTAGTTACACAAACCTTTGGCAAACTGTGGACTAATAAAGAGCTCAAAGCTATGTGTCAGAAACCTTGCCCTGCTTACAAAGGAGCTCTATCAATTTGGCAAAATAAATAACCTTCCTTGGGGTCTCACTGTTATCAGAGAAACAATACCAAGCCAACTTCTGTCATGGGATCATATAAATTAATAAACTTGAAAGTGACTTCAAACGTAAGATTATTCTATACAAATAAATCAAATAGAGCAGCTGTAAAATAGCAAGTTAAAAATGAAAATCTCCAAAATTCATTTGTTTACAGCTATTATTTATAAAATGACGAATAACTCTGAATAGCCTATTTTGTGATATAGAACACCTATTTTTTTGTTATATTTTAATTTTAACGTGGAATGGTACCATTAAAATGCATGCAATATCAGTTTAATAAATGGCATATTAACTCAAATTCTTTTTAAAATATTTGCTATTTAAGATAAATGGCACTATCAAAGAATTTGGGTAAGAGGCATTGCTGAATCAAAAGCTTCTTGAATGAAAAATCAATACTCACATTTGCACCAATGCCTTCACCACCCTCGGGGACTTTGGGAAATGCATCATAGAGAGATGACACGTATGTTATTACTGACTTTTCATCAGGAGAGGAAACATCAACATCTAAAAGCAGCAACATAAGTGATTTAAAAATGTTGACAGATTCGTCTTAATCAAACTTTCGTACCAGTCTACATCTGGGCCAGACAGCAGCTCACCTTCAGGATCCAGAAGTCTGATAACACCAATTTTTTCAGCTACATAAAAAGCGTGCTCTAAATTTGCAAGGTTGCTTTGAACAGCAACAGTATTCATGTCTATCAGGTCCGGCCTAGAAAAAAACACACTGTATTAATTACGTTTTCTCATTTGCCCAAGTCAACATTATATTTACATGTGTACCTATTTATACACTAAGTACTTGCTAAGGAGATTTTCATCAAACATCGCTTACATCTCTCAGAATCTTCTATGCAAAGTGTAATGAGGAAAATAGAAAAATTTGAACACATATAACTTTCGGCAAAGTCTACAAATCCCTTGTAATCAGCATTTATGTGACTCTCTGTCCCATTCAACCTAGGTAAGTGCCACTACTCAACGGTATGCTTCCAATCCAACCAGCATCCTCTCAAAGTTCCTCCCCAAACACAAAGCTGATACTCAGTTCAATGCCATGCCCATGTATCCCCCACCCAGGATGTCCTTTCCTGTCCCTGTCATCTTCTACAATCCTATTCATCCTTGCAAGCAGAGATCAAGCCCCACCTCCTCTGTGGAGACCTTACTCATCCTCACAGCTCTCAGTTTTCCCTCCCGGTTCCCTGACCGCCTTTTACTCCTGGGCCTGGGCCAGTCAATTTGGCACTTAGAACAATCGTATACTTCCTCACCCTACTAATTCGCTGCTTAATGTTCAAGCACATCTTGTTTCACCTAACTGGTCAACACCAAGAACCATGTATAATACACATTGTATTTTATCCTTCTGCTGAGATACAGTGGCATATACTAGGTAGACATTCAGTAAATACCTACAGATAAGTTGGTAAAAAGGTTGGTTAGTTGGTAATTTGAATTATAAATAACTAAATAAACACCAGTATGTACCATCGCAAACATGTATGTCCACACACAAACGCACACATACATACACAGACACGCACATATATACACACAGAAACACACACTCTCACACCTCAGACTTCATCTCTTCCCAATCTGTGAGACTTACATGATACTTTTAACCACAAAGATACTTTGAAGCTAGCTCTATCTATATGAAACAAGGAAAGACTTCTGAAATCCTCCTTAAATTAGGAGGCAGAATATGGCTGCTGGAAACTTTACTCAAGGCCAGAAGCCAGTCAGGAAACTTTCATCTAAAAAATAAAGCATTAGGCCTGGCCGGTGCTCAGTGGTTAGAGCATCAGCCCTTGCACAGAAGGGTCTCCGGTTCACGAGTTCAATTCCTGGTCAATGGCACCCACCTGGGTTGCATGCAGGAAGCAACCAATCAATGTATCTCTCTCATATCAGTGTTTCTTCTCTCTCTCTTTCTCTCTCTCCCTTCCGCCTCCCTCTCTTCCACTCTCGCTAAAAATCAATGGAAAAATATATATCCTTGGGTGAGAATTAGCAAAAAAAAATAAACAAAGCATTAAAAGAATGCACAAACAAATTTGGAAACAAAAGGAATGGCACCCAGTCCCAAAGTCACTGAGTTAGAACCTGTTTATCAACTTCGAAGAGAAGGCTCTCTGGTTCCACACTTGAGGAACTGCAGAAGGGCGGGAGGGCTCGGAGGTAGTGTGCGGCAAATGAATTGCAAATTATTTTGAATACTACCTGGAAGGCTGTCTACATAAGAAATTCTGAAAATACATCATTAATCTTAGGAAGGTAAACAGCAATTTGTACTCCTATTTTTATCTGATGAGACTACAGACTTCCAAAGAAATCTAGTTGCAGTTTTGTAGCTCTTGGAGGTGTTCATGACCTTGAATTACAGCTACCATTTTCTATGTACTTATTTCCCAAGGAATTCTTATGAAAGTCTTTCATGTTTTTCACATGCCACCAATTTGATCACTGAAAAGTGATCCTACAGGTATTATAGCAACAATAGATCTACTGACAACAACAGAGGAGTTAAATGACCTACCTCTAGGAATACCATTTTTTATTCACATAAAAGCATTTATTTTTCACATACACCCGTTTTGAAGCATCTGCCAACTTCAAGATTATTAAACAGGTGTGTATAACAGTCTAGACAAAAACAAATATCTAAAGTTCAAAAAACTGTTTTGCTTCCATAAAGTTCACACGTTCGGAAAAAAATGAAGACCAGTCTTTCTGAGTCTGCCAAACCTCCCAACAAGAAAGAGCATGTTGTTCTGCGAACTCCGTCATTAGTGAAGAACGTGAACACTGAGTAACCCCAGACAATGAACCAAGTCATTGAAGAATCAAGTTTTTGAGTAAGAGGATAAAACATAAAACTTCCTTCTGAATGACACAGTCATTTCAGCACAAAAGCAGCTGTATAATACATGAGTTTGGATAAGCCGCCTCTTTATTATGATATTTAAACACCGAAATGGTTTTCCCCCATTAAAAAAGGGCAGTGGACAAAATTAAGCAAAAAAGTGAAAGAGGATAAAATTTTAAAAGCACTGTGAGAAAGTAAGAGCCGGAACGTTTTCAAAATGCTCTCCCTGCCCTCGTCGTCTGCGAACGGCGTGGTCATTTTGGTCTGCCCTTTGCTCTGCCTCTACTTGCCTGGGCTTCCGAGGAGGCTCCGCTGTGACCTGTCTTCCTCTTTCCTCCCTTCTTCACAGTCTGGCTGGGACAATGCAACCTTTAAGAACGTCAGCTATTTTCCACATAAAGAAGCTGAGTTTCTTTTCACTGTGATGTCTCCTTTTTGTGAAATATTAACAGGAAATTGCATCCCCATCTCAGGTTTGACTAACCAAAGATGACACTATATTGTTAGCATGTAGAAGACAGCGACCATGTTCCTGTATTCTAGTCTAGAGACAGCTGAGCATGAAACTAGTCTGATTTCCTTAATTCCTAGAAGCCTTTCTTTTTTTTTTTTTTTCTTTTTTTTTTTATCCTCACCCGAGGCTATTTTTCCATTTTTTGTACAGATAGAGTGGGAGGGAGAGAGAGGAAGGGAGAGAGAGAGAGAGAGAGAAACATCGACGTGAAGGGACACATCGAGTGGCTGCCACCCGCACGATCAACCAGGGTCGGGGACAAACTGCAACCGAGGTACGTGCCCTTAGCGGGAACCGAACCCGGGTCTCTCTGTACCGCAGGCCGACGCTCTAACCACTGAGCCAAACCGGCCAGGGCCCTAGAAGCCTTTCAAGATCATATAATACAATCCTCTGCCACCTAAAATGATATATACTAGTCTTTTCATAGAAAAGAGGCAATTCTAACTCTTATTTGTGTTATTATTCTATAATAATGTAATCCTTTCTGAATGACTCAATTGTCATGGGTTGCAATTTTTAAAAACATATATTTAGATGCCACCTTTTTTTTATAAATTATTAAAAACAGCTTATAAAAAATTGAAAATATAAGAAAATAACATAAATTTTAAATTAGAAGTATAAAACCAAAACAGGCCACACAATGAAGTTTATTTAAAATGAGGCTAATGCCCTGGCCGGTTTGGCTCAGCGGTTGGAGCGTCAGCCTGTGGACCAGAGAGTCCAAGGTTTGGTTCCCACTAAGGGCACATACCAAAAAAAAAAAAAAAAAGAGGCCAAAAAGTCCGGCTGGTGTGGCTCAGTGGTTGAGCATCGACCCATGCACCAAGAGGTTGCCAGTTCGATTTCTGGTCAGGGCACATGTCCAGGTCATGGCCCGATCCCCAGTGGGGGGCATGCAGAAGGCAGCCAGTCAATGTTCTCTCTCATCGTTGTTTCTATCTCTCTCTCCCTCTCCCTTCCTCTTTCTCCGAAATCAAAAAAGGAAAAAAAAAAGTTTTTAAATGAGGCTAGCAAAGAACAAATCACTTATATGTATGCTTAATTTGTCCCAAAAATATAGAACAAAAAGATTCCCCAAAAAATGGCTGTTGCAGTACAAAATAATTTTGGATAAAAGTAATGCTTATCTTTCATACATCACATATCTTAAAAGAGTATTCTCCTAGACAAAACATATACATATGTCCATGTGCACACATATACACACACATATATTTATATACACACACATCCATATGTATACATGTATATGGATACACATATTATGTAATATTAGGATATCCACACTGACAGATAACCAAACTCATGGAACATAGAAATCGCATGAGAAATTTTTTTTTTGGTACAGACACTTCAAAGCAACTTTCCATCCTCAAACATTTTATAAATATATTAGTTCACATGAGAATAAGATACAATTCTGAAAGAAAATGTGACTATAATTAATAATACTGTTTTGTATATTTGAAAGTTGATGGCATAGGTCTTAAAAGCTCTTATCACAAGAAACAAAATTTGTAAATAGGTGTGACAACAGATGTTAACTAGACTTATTGTCATTTATTATTATATACAAATATAGAATCATGCTGTACACCTGAAACTATGTTATATGTTAATTATACCTCTTTTTTAAAAAATCTGCAATACTATCAGATAATTGTTACAAGACAAACATGAAGCCGAAAGAAACACAAACGTGCCTACTGTCTTACACTCTCAGTACGAGACTGCAACCCTTTCAACTCTTTTCCAGTATTGATTTTTACTGTTTAAATCTAGAGGAAAAGAATATTGGGGATGGGGGACATTTCATGTTCGCCCAACTCTGGAATACATTGTAAATGATGAAGTCTGGAAAAGACAGCATTTGGTAACATTTCTTTAAATCAAAATCAAAAGCACTTAAACTTTGGGATGTGAGGTATCTGATCATCCAGAAGGGCAGTGGGCAACAATTCTCTTTCTCCATGAAGAAAAGGACAATGGAAAGCAGAATGGTGGTGGCTAGGGGCTGGGGGAAGGAGTTCTTGTTTAATGGATACACTGTCTCAGTTTTGTAAGATGGAAACAGTTCTGGAGATGGATGGTGGTAATAGTTACACAACAATGTGAATATACTGCCACTTTACTGTACACTTAAAAATGGTTAGGATGATCACTTTTGCATTATGTGTATTTTACCACAATTTACAAAACATTTTAAGGCCATTTGTACATATTTGAGAGTAAAGACTATATTGACATGGAAAAAGTTAAAGGATGTGATTCAAGTGCCCTATGATTTAGTCCTAACTTGTTCTCTGTTGAATTTAGA